AGTAAATGCATACTGTAGAATTGTGTATCACCGAATGCACATGAATCGTATTGACATGAACTGTCGCGACTATTAGCTCCCGCCCTGTGCAGTTCCCCGCATGGGAAACTGGTTCCGCCCTGCGCACTTCTCCCAATCTCCAACTCCACACGGAGTCCCCCAGACAGCAAATGTCGTCAATCGCCCGGCCACCAGACCCATGCCTCGTGGCAATTATCCTCATAGTGCGCTCACGTACCGGTCCGCGTCTAGTCTTCCACTACCCTCCGAACCCCCTCAACGAGAACCGCATCAAAAGCACCACCAAGGGTGGCCGGCGCATCTCGCGCTCCACCCGCGCGAGACAGGGATCCAAGAATACCGATTCGAGCTCAAGTGATGAAAGCGGTCTAAGCTCCGACGAAGATGAAGAAGAAAGAGATACCCAAAGCCATGCCGGTGGGAGTTCAGTGTTGGCGAGTCGCCGCGCGAGCAATTTCGGCCTCGACGATCATCTCTCCATAGTCGGGTCGCCTGCTGCCGGTGGCTCTGAGCGCCCTGGGTCACTAGGCTCTGGTCGGGGCTCCTCGTTTCGGAAACGTGGCGGAGGCTCCGAGCCAGAGCCTGATGAGGATGCGGGGACGGCCTCTGACCGACCTGATGACGGCCCTGGGAGTTCCAGGCCGCCCTGGGAGTCGCTTCTGGGCGTGCCTGGGAGCGTTTGGGAAAAGCTGCTTAGTCCGTCTCGGTCGTGGCACAAGCGGCGCTTCGAGGTTGGGATCAATGATCTGGCGCTTATTGGGTGGCCGGTCTTTGTGCGCGAGGACGGTGCTTGGCGCAAGCAGCGCCGCAAGAAGAAGAAAAGTCCGGCCCCGAATGGGACGGTGGAGAGTTGGGCCACAATGAGAGTGCGGAGGAGAGCCAGAAGGAGGAGTCATCGGTGACTTCGCCTGACCTCGGTGCTAGTGTCGCTTCTATCGCCGAGTCGTTGACTTCCCCGGCGACTAGCAAGCGTGGTTCGACTAGCGGGAGGCCTGGGAAATCGGATGAGCCCCTGGATCCGCAGGATAAAGACCACATGACGATGTTCAATGTGGTGTTCGTCGTGGATCCTCCTTTGTTGGAGTATTCCATGCGGGTCAAGGAAATCTATGAGAATATCATCAAGAAATTCGCCAAGGCTCTTAAATGGGAACAGGCTCGGACCGACTATGTTTGGAGAGAGTCTCAACATATCTTGCAGATGAGAAGGAAGGCACGAGAGACAAGTGCGTTACCGTTATCACATACTGACCGTGCTGGAGCTCACAAGGAGACTACACAGAAACTTCGACCAATAATCTCTACTCGGAATTGATATCTCAGTCCTCTCTAGCTCGGGCTATATACACAGTCTACAGCAGTATCTCGGCATCCAAAATCGCATCCGTCTCGCTCAGCCCGGACGTTTCCATCTCGCTTCAGATTCCACCCTTGACCTCAACACCATATCTCACTGGACCTATGGATAAAGCATATCCGGGTCTGTGGCTCACAACGGCAGACAGTGCAACCCCAGTCGATGACCCCGGTACCGATGACAGCAGTACGCCGCACCAGGTCCTTGCAAAGCACTTTGCTCTGCTGCTACTAGACAGCGAAGCGGCCATCATCAAGGACGTCGAAGCGTCTGGCGGAGCGCTTGCTCCCGCACTTGCACACTACATCCGATGCTCTAAGCCGACCAAGTCCTTTGCACAGATTTCAGTATCCTCGGGGATTCCGTTATCCCATATCCAGATGCTGTCGAGCCATCTTGTGTACTGGCGGCGCGCTCGCGCCATCCCTCCCATCCACCAACGAGACACCTACATCGTTTCCCCGAATTGTGACCTGAGCAAGCTGGAGGTGGCCACAGTCGCTTACCAAACAGCATTCCCGACATACCCCAGTCTTCCCAAGATGCTCTCTACACTCAGTGGCACCCCTCGCCCTTACAGTAATTTCATCCCCAGCAAGGACCACAAGGAGATTTACTTCACCATTCTGGCCTGGCTCCTGCGCGGCGGCTGGGTCACGCAGCTCCGTACCTTTGCGCGCATCAAGGTCTCACCCGAAATCAAGATGGCCGTGGAGATGGCCTTGCGCAAGGAGGAGGTTGAACGATACCTCGCCAAGGGCAACTCAAACTCCATTCCAGTCGAGGAGGACACCGAATCGGGCGATGTTAATGATGACGCCAACTCCTCCTCGTCTTCTTCCCTTCAAAGCCACGGCAGTGGAGACGAAACGCCTATGCCCGGTCGACTCGACCCACACGCTCAACTGCGCTCTTCCCACAAGCTCCTCGATCAATCCACCGCTCTCCGACTGTCGTCTTTCATCCTCTCTCCGCACCGTGCCTCTCCTCTTGAATCACGGTGGCTGGATGAGATCGTCTCCCGATTTCCCGATAATCCCAGACCCCAGCAGGTTGGGGAGACCGTCAGCCCGGATATCACGCCCAAGGATATCCAGACCCTGCACAAGAAGTATTGGCCGGTCTTCCTGAAGTATTTCAATGGCTATGACGCCCTGGAGAAAATCTCCGTGCGTGAGAATCTCAAGCGTAAGCTCGTCTGGCAGGTCCTCCAGCGTCTAGGGTTGGTGGCTGGACCTCTGGGCTCGGGTGATGTCGGTCAACGTGAGCAGGTGTTGGTCAGCGTTCGGCATTGGTAGTGTTTCTTGGTGTTGTTAGGGATATGAGAAAGGGATTTATTCTTATATTTGATTTTGGTAGAACAATGATAATACCCGACATGAGTTGACCTACTTAGATGTGTGCAATACTTGGACTTGATAAGGTAGTAGTAGATGACTGACACCTGAGGCATGAATTGGTATCCGGGGCAGAATAAATTCCCGCGTATTATCGTTACAATACGCACTCGCCCCTTCCGATGGTTTCCGCGTGCCCTCAGCCCTAATCACTGCCGAAAGCACAATCGAGTGTGTGTCTATTGTGTACGGAGATGTATGTATTGGATATAGGTGAGATTGGGGGCTTCGAAGGTCAACATTGTGGGGTGAATTGTTTACATAGATCCACCACTAGAGGAAGACAGCGTGTAGCCGTTCATCTTATTCTGGTGAAAGAATACAATATATCACATTCTTTCGCACAGAAGTAGCAATTTGATAGAAAAGTTATCGCAGTAAGAATAGAATACACGGGCAGACTGTATTACCTTTACGCCGAGGGATATCATCACCGGTTTGTATCCGAACAGTTAACGGTCCAACGGGCAGATAATCCTGACTGGGATTGGGCCTGTGATAGTTTACGACGGTATGCCTGACGAGGAGACTCAGAGAGAGTCTGAAATATCGATGCTATGCTACCCAAATAGACTGAGGATCCCAAGTTGTCATGCAATCTCCACGTCAGTCAGCATATTTTTCTATTGTGCGCCAATGGCCGGAGATTCTCCGGTGGACCGCGATATGCAGAAGTACATCGGTTTACATCGGTATTGAATGTTCCTGTCGAGGCCGAGTTAGTACAGACATGTTGTCATTGAGGCTAGAACTCGTAGAATATTCTTAGAAAGGAAAAAGAGAAAGATCTTGGAAGCTAAGTTCAGGAGAAAGCAAGCATATTGTAATCCAATTGGCTGGACATTGTCTTCAAAGACCTCACCCTGGAGTCTCTAGTTACCACTTAGACAGCTATTTTGAATCCTCGGTCACTTGAATTGGTTGTTATTGGATCAAGGTCTGTTACAGAAGGTGGAGGCTCAACTTATTTACCATTTATTTTGTAGCAGTGCCTATCTCAAAGAGTACTCTTGTACTTGGACTGCCGAGATGGTCAACCTCGGCAAACACATTACACTCAAAAGATACATATACACCGTAGGGTATCGCAGCGCAGGTCTGAAGCTTTCTCTCATATCCGGTTATAAAACAAATGTAAGAATGTACTTATGCTGCCTTCCAGGCTACCTTTAGGTACTGGGAGAATATGACTCAAATGACATGGTAATGGAATGGTAAAGTGTGGGAGTATCAGCTACCTAAATATCCTCCACAGACCAATTCCCCTAAAAGAGAAGGAAAGACCATATAAAACATGTAAAAGGGGAAAGAGCAATTCCATTTATGCGAAATTCCACAATAAAAATGTCGTACAAAAACAACATTAATTACGTGTAAAGAAAAAAAAAACCCCGCTACCAGTTCTGCCCTGAACCAAATAATTTTGTGCTTCTCTTTTCTTCCTCTCTTATTATCTTCGGGCCTCGCTTCTTCCTTCCTCTGTCCCCCGTGACTTTGTCTCTTCTTCAAATTCATCTTCCTCCCGGTATCTCACTTCCCGAGAGAACCGATCCCTACTGTCTCGAAACCCACGTGCGAATCGCGTCCGGTCCTCATTTTTCAAAGGGATCGACACGCCTCGCCAGGAACCTTCTGATCTTGTGTCTCCTTCACCTCTCTCGTGAGATCCAATACACAGTCTTCCTGTGCATCCGACTCGCATCACTTCAGCCCGGTTGACTTTTTTTTTTTTACTACACCTTCAGTCTCGCGACGTCGACAAGGCAGTGCCTTTGCAGCGTCCCCGGTGGGAAAGAATTCCTGACACCAACACACTGTCCTCCGTCTTTCCACCTGCGTTCTCGCAAGCTACCATTGTTGAGATCATCTCACGCACCGAAAAGTCGACGACCGGTTGATCAATGCGATCTGTGATCTAAAGGAATTCCCTCAGCTACAACTCTTTCGAACACACTTTGCGACCTGATACCCCCGTGGTCCTTTGCCTGGCTCACGCACAAATCGTCCATTTTGACTCACAACTGAAAGCCTCTCTGAGAGACGGGAAGCTACAGATTATCGTGGTTACGAGAAGACGGAATTCTTTTCCTCTCTTGACTCCCACTACCGCAGGAGCTATCTCGCGCCCAGCAGGTGCAGATTGACATATCCCGAGTCACCCGACTCCAATTCTATTTCCTTTTTTTCACTTTCTCACGCAGAGCTACAAAAGCTCCCACTTCGACATGTCTACGTTTTCGTACGCACAAGCCGCCAAGGGCGCTTCCGGGACACCGACTCCATCCAAAACACCTTCAGTATCAGAGAAAGCCGAGTCCAAATCGGAGGAGCAGACCGCCGTCGAGACCACAACAGATGAGGCACCAGCTCCCGCCGAGCCTGAGACCGCCCAAAAATCCGAGACAGTCGCCGAAGAGTCCAAGGACGATGACTTCACCACTGTCACCAGCAAGCACGCCACCAAGTCAAAGGCTGTGACCCCTCGAACATCAAGCCCGAGCGTTCGCACAGGCTCAAAGGCACGCAAATCCAAGGAGGACGAGTCAAATACCTCCAATGCCAACGCAGATGCCACCACTGAGAAGCAGGCTCCCAGTGAGACACAAACTGAGAAGGGCGAGGCCAAAGAGAAGTCAACGGAGAAGCCTGAGGATTCCGAGAAGACCGCAGCACCGCCCAAGGAGCTAAAGGCTGCTCCTCTTCCCTCGGTCAACATTTGGCAACAGCGACTAGAGGCCCAGGTCAAGGCGGCCCCGAAGTCCACTTCCACCAGCAAGGTCGCCTCTACCAAGGCCGACGAGACACAAGATTCCAAGGCCGGCTCTAAGAAGAAGGGTGCCGACGGAGCACAGGAAGGTGCCAAGGATCGCAAGAAGACCGACGGTGGAAAGGGTCGCGATGTCGGTAAGATAATTACTCTCCGCGTCAGCCGTCCATTTGTCGTTCCCACCGAGTTCGCTGGGTCGGACGTCAATGATGGCGCATCCCCGTGACCGAGACTTTGGAAGCTAACAACGAGAAGCAGTTCCCCCAGTAGAGGATGCTACCGCGTGGCCCACTCCTCAAGTCGCGATCGGCGAAGAGAAGAAGAAGGCCCATGATAAGACCGACAAGAGCCCTGTCATCAGACCCCACGGAAAGGAGAAGTGGACTCCGGTTCCTTATGTCCCAACTGCTGTTTTCAACACTCCGCTTCCGTCCGCCGGTGGCCGTGGAGGCCGACGGGCCACTCGTGGTGGCAGAGACAGCGGCCGCGGAGCCCACGGTACTGGTGCCGCTGCTGCCGACAAGGCTGCCTCTGGACAGGCCGCCCAAGGTGCAAAGCAGGCGACTGGAGAGCGAGGACGTCACGAGTCTGGCACTGGACGTGCTGCCTCTCTTCCCGCCCAGGCGCGCCGCTCGACGAGTACTGACGCCGGTGCTGCGACTGATGCACGCAAGGCTTCTCAGGCCCCTGAGCGCACTCGTGGAGCTCGCAACGGAGATGAGGCCACTTCCAGCAAGCAGGTGAACGGCGGAGAGAACGTCCCCCGCTCTCAACGCGAGGGCAAGCCCTTTGGAAGAAACCAAGATGCCCGCAAGAACCTGGCCGTTGACCCGCAGGCTGCCGCCCGCAGCACCGACCGTCGCTTCGAGGCCGGATCGAAGTCTGCTGACGCTAGTGGTTTCACCGACTTCAGCCGGGAACGCGGCGAGTTCCGCCCTGAGCGTGGAGGTCGTGGATCCAACCGTGGCCGTGGTGGCCCGTACTCCAACTTCGGCGGCCAGAACGCCCAGTTCAATGCGTCCATGTCCAACAACGGGTTTGCCACACCCAAGGCATTTTACAACGACCGTCAGCGCTCGCAGCAGCATGGCATGCCCAATGGCTCTCAACAAAACCGTATGCCCCTCCGTTCGCCCTCTTTGACCACCCCTGGAAACGCGTATGGTGGTGTTTATCCTATTCCAGTTGATATCAACACGATGTATGGCTACCCGGCCGTCAACCCGACACCGATGAGCGCCATGCCCTACCCGTCGTACCCGGAACCCTTGTCGCTCATGGGCATGCTATCCATGCAATTGGAGTACTACTTCTCGGTCGACAACATGTGCAAGGACATGTTCCTGCGCAAACAGATGGACTCTGAGGGCTTCGTGCCTCTCAGTGTGCTCGCCAGCTTCAAGCGTGTGAAGTTGCTCACCGAGGACTTCGAACTTCTTCGTCACGTGGCTCGCCAGCTCCGCACTGTTGAGTTCCAGACCAGCGAGGACGGTGTCGACCGCCTGCGTCCCCGAGAGAAGTGGCAGCAATGGGTCCTCCCCGTGGATCAACGTGAACCTGCCGCTCAGCATAACGGCGCTGCCCCTGCTGGAAAGACTGACGAAAACACCCCGACTAACAGCCACCGCGAGTCTGCCATCAATGGAGCCGCCCGCCAGTTTGTTCCCAACGGTGTTTCCAGTGGACCTAAGACCTCACTTTCGTCTACCGCCCCGGAATTCATGCCCTCATTGCCACCCACCGCAGTGAGCGAGATTGCCAATGTAGGACACTCCCCGGATTATCCCATTTCCCCTACCTCGACAATGTCGTTTTTTTCGTCGTCTTCATCGTTTCCCAAGGACAGCCCAGTTATTAACACATTTCATTCAGCGTGCGGACTAGATTTGCAGTCTGAACCGTCCTTTCTCTCCGATTTGGAACCCGTGGCCCCGAAGAGGTATGCTTGACCCCCTCTCCCACATGACCTTACATTCTTTGAAGCACCAGCTGAGTTTCCGAGTAGCACCCACGCAGAATATTTCCCAGGCCAACCCGGCGGTGCTGATTGGCTGATGAATGAGTCTCTTGCGAAAACGCAGCATCCACTGCCGCCCAAACCGAAAAGAAGGGATCGTTCGTCCAACTATTTCCCAAAAACTTTCCATACATCTCGCAACGGAACTTGGAACGGCCAAGGCCGCTCAATGGCCAGAGGGTATAACTCTGGAATCATCATGCCTTACCATGACTGGTCATTGCACTTGACCACAAGTTTGACCAACAATTTCAATTTTCACCTGTACAATGAATTTAGGCGTTCGGCCCTTGATGACCTTCTTACACGAAGCGATGATCAAGGTTTCCACGAGCTCATGCGATTTTATCGGGTCTGTCTTCTTCACCGTCACTCCATTCCTTCCCCGGTGATATGCGACATGGTTCGGCTTTCACAACAGCCAACGGTGCCATACCACACTCTTGCCTTCAACATGATCCATGAAACACTTGCCAGTGGAGCGATGAAATCGCACAATCAGCGAAAAGTCAGCAGTTACTTCAATACCCAGCGCGGCTAGACGCCCGAAGAAAAGTTATCATGAGCCATTTCGCATCTTTTTTGAATTTTTGCTTCTTTCGCGACCCATCTCCTTCCGCTGCTTGTCCATCATGACCAGCATTTCTCTTCTCTTCAGTTAACAAGGTTATCTTTTTTTGTCTCGCATGCATAGTCGCCAAACTTTTCTAGAGTTCCAAGTGAACCTTCCATTACAATAACGCGGTCTGACTTTTTTGTTCACTTGAAGCTTCGGAGTCTTTTTCTGTTCTTTTTCCCTCATCAACATCTTCGTTGCTCTTGATCTCCATTGCTTTTCTCGAGTCATGGGAGTCAAAAAAAACCTTTCGGCGTCCGGGCATGGTTTTATTGGCAGTATCTCTCTTTCGATGCCTGCCGCTACGGTGTGCTTCGCCAAAACAATTGTTTTCAGCTCTTCGCAAAGAGATTTGCACTTTTCCTCCTTATTTCCTTCCGAATTCAGCCAATTGAGCTAGGCGCTTCGACAGCCCTGGATCTCAACAAGTATCGGCATCACGACGAATCAGAGCATCCGTTGTGTCGAAAGTTTGGTCTGCCATTCTTCCTATGTTCCAGTTATGGTGCCAATCGAACAAGAGGGAATCCAGCATGGTTACGTTTGCTCCCTACCTGGGTGACCATTTGGTTATCCCATTGTCCTTGGGGCATATCTTCTTGAGGTGGCTTGGTCCATCACACTGCTCTGTTGCTCCCCTTTCAAGTTTCTTTGGACGGCAGAGTCAGTTGCGCTTCGTGTACTTTGTTAGCATAAATTGGGCTGTTCGGTCCTTTGTGGAGTAATACGATTGCTATGCACACTTTGAGCTTATGGACTGTATGATATTGAGCTCCATGGCCAGGGAATTGTAGACTCAAAGCCATTAGACCAGCCTGTAAGCTATACGTTCATTTAACCATACTCATCTCAAGAACAGGTGATGTGAGGTCTGACTTCCGGGGAAGGTTGAAAGTTTCTGCCTCAGGCTACAAAACCTTACATCCAATCGGAGAAGGCATCCATCATGTCAATCTGGAACTGACCTCAACAGCTCTCCTTCTTCCCCATCTAGCTTGCTTCTGCACCTCCAACCGCGCTTCTTTTTCCTCATATTCCCCGATACTCCCAACTCACTTTCAAGATGGAGGGTGCATCCCGCCAAACGTCAAGGCTCCTCCGGCCTCGTGGTCAAAAGCTCCTTCCTCAACGTCTTCCACGAAGCTCCGCAGTGAGCGCTACACCCTTCACCCAGATCCAACGACGAACTCTGTCAAATTCCCCTCAAACTTCCGCCCCCGATTCCATTTTCAACGGCTTCAAATCTGGCGGCGCGTACAATGATGGGCCCACCAGCTATTTCTCCAACAGACAACCCCTCCCCGCGAACACCGTCGTGCGATTCGTACCACAACAGACAGCATGGATTGTCGAGCGCATGGGAAAATTTGATCGGATCTTGGAACCAGGTTTGGCGATTCTCGTGCCGTTTTTGGACCGCATTGCCTATGTGAAGAGCTTGAAAGAGGCAGCTATTGAGATGCCCAGTCAGAACGCCATCACGGCAGATAATGTCACACTCGAGCTGGACGGTGTACTCTATACACGGGTGTTTGATGCGTACAAGGCAAGGTGAGTGACTTTTTTTGGCAGCTCGGGTCTTTTGGTCGTCGTGTGGTGGAGAAGTACCGAAACAAGTGCAAGTACTGACATATCGCCAATTGTAGCTACGGAGTTGAGGACGCGGATTACGCTATTTCGCAACTCGCGCAGACAACTATGCGTTCGGAGATCGGCCAACTGACCCTCGACCACGTTCTTAAGGAACGCGCCAATCTCAATGTCAACATTACTAAGGCGATTAACGAGGCAGCTCAGGAATGGGGTGTTGTCTGCCTGCGATATGAGATCAGGGATATTCATGCGCCGGAGAAGGTCGTTGCTGCTATGCACCGTCAGGTCACTGCTGAGCGCTCCAAGCGCGCCGAGATCCTCGAGTCTGAAGGTCAGCGCCAGAGTGCGATCAACATTGCCGAGGGTCGCAAGCAGTCTGTCATCCTGGCGTCTGAGGCTTTGCGCGCTGAGAAGGTGAATCACGCCTCTGGTGAGGCTGATGCTATCTTGCTCAAGGCCCAGGCTACTGCGCGTGGCATTGACGCCGTTGCTCGGGCCATCCAGGAGGGCGGCGAGAATGCACGCAATGCGGTCAGTCTCAGTGTCGCCGAGAAGTATGTCGCGGCTTGGTCAAACCTTGCACGCGAGGGCACAGCTGTCGTTGTTCCAGGGAACGTCGGAGATATGGGTGGCATGATTGCCAACGCTATGGCTGTCTATGGCAAAGTGAGCGAGACACAGGCGCGGAGTCTGGCGAAGAAGTCTCTCGGTGTTGAGGATTCGAAGTCATCGGATACCCCGCAGACTAGCCAACCATCAACAGAAAGCCATGTCCCGACCTATTTCGAGGGACAGGCGCAGCAGAAAGCACAGTCGAACGTCGCACCCGAACCTGCGATGGAGGGGTTCGAGGTTGCCGGCAATGAACACAAGCAATAAGCGTCTAGACGTGGCCCAATCGACATGAAACGACGACTCCTCTCTTGTATTGCTTTAATTCCTCCACCTTGTTCCTGTGGTTCTGATATTTTTCAGCTCCGGTATTCTCTGACGTCTCGCTGCTCTTTTATCTTTTCGAACTCTGTATCTTAACCTATCCTTCTCATTCTCTCCTTCTCTCCTTGCCTCCGCTCTTGTATTCTGTTCCCCTCATTTTCTTGCAGCATTTCTTAAGGAGTCTCCCAAAGAGCATGAGCTTCTACACATGTGGTATTATACGTGCGAACTCGGCATGTTACTTATGTACATAAGGGGACTGTTGCCGGTCAGAAATCCGTAAGGAAGAGTACTACATTATCTCCATGTACAAGTTGTGTATCAGTATCTTCCGTTTACTTTGTCAGTTACAGTGGATGTGGAGTTTGAGATCAAACGAGTGCATTATTGATACAAACCAGAAAGAATCCAGTCGCGCAAGCCCTAGTCAGCTGAACCAAAATCGAACGACAAGGACAAAGACAAAGGCAATACGTACCTAAAAACGGAACAGCTCAAACAGCAGCCGCAGGCGCAGCAATCGGCTCAATGTCAAACCGAATCTGAAGCGAAAAAGCGATATCCCAAGTCACAACCCTCGCAATATAATGCGTCCCACGGGGGAAAATCTCCAAAATCAAATTAACAGCGCATTTCCCAATGCGCGTCCCCAAAAGCCCATGATACTGCGGTGTATTATAATGCCAAACCTCCTGAGTATCCGTAGCAGACGGCCAGAGGAGCCCATTCCGCGGCGTATACAGCATCGTCTCGAGAAAATCCTGTGTATCAGGGTTAATAATAGTAGTAAAATACAAGTGTCGCAGACTCTGCGGATCCGCTACCTCCCGCATCATAGCGACAGCAACCTGCGAGAAGTGCGGTCCATCTTTCCGGAAGATGGCCTCGGCAATCAGCACCCCGTGGCCGACAATAAGGTCGAAGACGTTCGGGGCTTTATCCGCTGTGTTAGTACTATCCTTCTGCGCTAGGATTCGTGTCATATCAGTACCGGGGTAGTGGCCTAGATTCGCCGCGTCATCCATGATAACAGATGGAACGCTGCTGGGGTCAGTCTGCACGAACCAGCCCATCCTGCGGAGGTCGGCTAGGGTTAGTGGGGCTGGCTGGAATGGGCAGGTGGTGTCTGTGGCGTCCTCGATCCAGCGCTGCCGGATGGCTCCGGTGACTTGCCATTCGCCGTGATCATTTCGTGATGTGGACGCGGGGGGTGCTGCTGGATGGCGATGGGCTCTGTCCCAGGCGGGGTTCATGGTGATTGGGGGGGGGGGGGGGGGGGGGGGGGTATAGTATAGTATTGATCGCTGGGCAATTGGGTCAGTCTTGGGATGTAGAAGGGCTTACTTACTGTGGCTTGGTGAGTCTTCTATACTGTTGTTGGACCTTGGAATGGCCCGGAGTGAGCTGGATGGAGATGGAAGTACGGGGTGGTGATGGGTTTATATGGTCTTGACGGTATGAACTGAGGGAGATATTGCATCTATATGAAGAACAAAGTCTGACAAAGACACAAAGATGACAATGGATTCTGAGAGACAAGGTCATTTGAACGATATTCTGGGACAAGGCGTCCGAGTCTCTCGCAGCCTTGACAAAGAAAGACATCTCTTTCAAGGTCTTTGTGAGCTGACGGCCTGTTTGTGGAAGTCAGTCTTGGTTGAAGAGATCAATGCCGACCCAGGGGGATAAGTAGTCTGGGAATACCAGCATCTCGAGTTCTGCTCATCGGTCTGGCACTTTCTTGTTGAGCTCACACTTTATCACAAGCAACCAGGGTCAACTTTTGACCGACTCTCACTCGCAACAATGTCCTGCACAATGATATCCCCCCCAACAATGTCTCTGACCATGACAAAACCTGATGACTTAAGCCACGAAATGTATTTCCACCAAGAATGCGATCTTTTCCAAAGAGCCCTAGAGAGAGAAGCGCTCTCTCTTCATCTGTTGGAGGATCGCCGGGAAGACACCTGTCAAACCCTTTGCGATCTGATTGTCGAGTTGGAGATCATTAAGCACCTTGCTGTAATCATGGCGAAGAAGTCGCCAAAGTGTGCAACTGTCCTGATCAGTCCCCCGGGATTCTTCCTAGGTGAATTTCAAGAATACTGTCACACTAAGATTTTGCCGATTCTCGTAGCGGCGTTGACCTGTCTTCGCGAGTGTGAGTACCTCTATTCTGGTGTTAATTTCACTATCGCTGCTTGGTTGGAGTCGATTCATGAGGATTTGTCCTTTGTTCTGGATAGTCGGGAATAGCTGAGCAGCCTGAGCTATCTTGGCGAGGTTCCAATTGAGCTGTGATGGTGTGAAGTATTTGGATGCGACAACAATATTCAAATGTTGGTGTTCTAGATTCCGTTATTCCATGGATCTCTTAGAAGTGTGCTTCGTATAGAAACGAAGTCCACTTCCCCCCCCCACATATGAAACCTTCCTCCTGCTCGGAGCTGTCCCTTTCTCTCTTCCATTTCACCTTTCCAAACCACTTTATCAAGACCAACTCATCACCAAATCTGAAATCATCCATCATGCCCTCCGGAAAAGGATACACTGTTACCGGCTCTGGTACCAACTCCCAGGTATGCTATCTCCATCTCCTGTACAAATGAAGAATCAAAACCCAAGCTTATCACTACCCAGGGCAACCACTACTGCAACCGTGACTACGGTAGCAGCGCTTCCAACCAGAACAGCTACCACTACTCCAACACGTGAGTTGCTGCTCTGAACACAGCTGACATGCGTATAGTATAGTATGTGTCCACTGACTTATGGCCCTAGGAATGGCTCTTACTACTACTCCAATCCTAATGGAAGCACCTACTACTCGAGTCCGTCGGGGCAGGGGACCTACACTCCCCCCTCGGGATCTGGATCTGGATCATCCTCGAAGTAAATCGGAGTGTGTGATACCTTCGATTGAATGAAAGTGCTTCATCGATTGATCAATGAGCTTGATGTGTTTACCTATGCTTAATGTGAACACGAAATGTTTTCAGGATGAACTGTGTGATTGTAATCTGTCGTAGTGGTCGTAATGAGCATATCAAATACCTACAAGCTATACTCGGTGTAGATTTTACTTTGGGACGTCGACTGTGAACTGGGATGTTCAACAGATGCTAGCCTACCCCGTGCCGGGGCCGTGACATTGCGTGGATTCGTGGAAGTCTTGTTCTACACCCAATGCCTAGTTGCATTGTAGAATTCCCACATATAGACCGTCATATCAGGAAGTAGGAATTCATACTCTAAAGTGCCCATTGGGCTCACTAAAGGGCCCGTGACTGCCCGTGACATATCGGACATCAACGCGGGAGCTCGGACCAGGTCTGGAGATCGCGACTTTTTGATTGCGCGTTAATTTCCGACCTCATCCCTCTTTCTCCCTCGAATCGGACTGGAACTTCGATTTTTGTACCTCGAAAGAGAGGCATCCGCTTTCTTTGACCCCAGATCTGCCATGTTACAGGCCATCCAATAGTCCGTAGATCAGCATTCGACACGCCTGGCGCTCCCCTCCTTACCACGCTCACTCCGTCGATACGTGTCGCACAATTTGATCCCAAGGACCAACCATCTAGACAGCTGGAAAACAATCGGGCAAGGCTGAATTCATCTCCGGAACCGGCGCGATGCATATCATCAAGCCGGTCTGGCTCACCCATGGAGGTACGGAGCTTGATTGTTGGGATATTCTTCTCTCGTGAGGCGCAGCCACGCTTCACAGCGGAGCGGAACTGGATCAGTCGACGGAGGGACCACATTTGCTAATGGCAATCCTCTGATACAGGTGAACGCAAAGACTTCGAAGTTTACAGCTGCGATGTCTCGCCAGATGGAAAGCGACTAGTCACAGCTGCTGGAGGTGAGCTCAATCCCTCCTCGTTTGCGCCGGAAGGCCTCCAGAAAATGCCTGCGCTGTTTAGGGGAAACGTCACTGACACCATGAATTTTGATACCCAGATGGATATGTGCGAATCTGGTCAACGGAGGCCATTTACGGCACCGGAACTGCTGAACTCGAGGGCAAGCCAAAGCAACTGGCCTCCATGAGCAACCATTCGGGCACGATCCACACCGTTCGATTCTCACCCAACGGGAAATACCTTGCGTCGGGCGCAGATGACAAGATTGTCTGCGTGTATACCCTCGATGCTAATCCTCCAACACACTCGTCAACATTCGGTACGCTTTGACTATAGCGAGAACTGAGGAACGGCAGATGCTGACAGCTGTGGAAATCATTTAGGCACGGACGAAGCACCGCCTGTCGAGAATTGGCGTACGATTCGGCGGTTGATCGGTCACGATAATGATGTCCAGGATCTCGGATGGTCGTTCGACTCGTCGATACTGGTATCGGTTGGGCTGGATTCCAAGGTCGTGGTGTGGTCTGGCCACTCGTTCGAAAAGCTGAAGACGATAGCGATCCACCAAAGTCACGTTAAAGGAATCACCTTCGATCCAGCGAACAAATATTTCGCGACGGCCAGCGATGATCGGACAGTCCGCATCTTTCGATTCACCTCTCCTGCCCCCAACCACTCGGCCCACGATCAGATGAACAATTTCGTCCTTGAACAAACAATCACAGCCCCATTTGCCAACTCGCCGCTGACGGCCTATTTCCGTCGCTGCTCTTGGTCGCCGGATGGGATGCACATTGCAGCTGCAAATGCTGTGAACGGTCCTGTCAGCTCTGTCGCCATCATCAATCGTGGATCGTGGGATGGTGATATCAATCTGATCGGACACGAGGCACCAGTAGAAGTCTGCTCGTTCTCTCCACGCCTGTACGCAACCGAGCCTCCCAATAAGAAGCAAGCTGATGGGCAGCCTGTACCCCAACACCACATTACGGTCATTGCCTGCGCCGGTGGGGACAAATCCTTGAGTATCTGGATCACGAGTAATGCTCGACCGATCGTGGTTGCGCAGGAGATGGCTGCCAAGGCTATCTCAGATTTGGCGTGGACTCCTGACGGGAAGTGTCTATTTGCCACTGCTCTGGATGGCACAATCCTGGCAGTCCGGTTTGAAGACGGGGAACTAGGATGGGCCACAGAGATGGAGGAGAACGAGAAGTCACTCACAAAATTCGGCACTAATCGAAGGGGTGCCGGCATCACGGAAACAACGGACAGCTTGCTGCTGGAGGAAAAGAGCAAGGCTGGTGAGATCAAGCACGTAGAAGGAAGAATGGGTGCACTGATGGGCGACGGCGCCGAGCCCAAGGCGAACGGAGAGAAGGCACCACAGCCATCAAATGGGGCAACACCTGCTCGAGTTTCTCCACCAGCTCCTGACACACCCAAAACACAAGCAAACGGAACTCCTACCACGCCTGCCATCCCAGAAGCCGAGAAACCCGATCCTTACAAAGCCAAGCTGGAAAGACTGAAGCAGCGCCCCACGTACACAAAGGAGGGGAAAAAGCGTATCGCACCACTGCTTGTTTCCGGAGCTGGAGCTGGAGAGTCCTCTCTCCCACAATCCCGCCTGATGCAGTCCATCAGCAGCCAGGTCAAGGCTGACGCTCCCACCACCATCCTTGATTTGTCAAAACCATTCGATGGCCTGCCGAAGGGTGGCTTGACTGCTCTTCTTCTTGGAAATAAACGCAAGCTGGCCCAGATCGAGGGTGACGAAGACGGCAGCGTTGAAAGACGTGTGGCACTTGCCAGCCAGAACGGTGCCACCCCCATCATGGCCAACACCCCCGACGGCCTCCTGCCAGCCCAAGTTCAACCCGCCACGGTTGGCCAACTGCCGACTCCGGAGTTCATTCGTCCTGCGGTGATAAATCCTTGCATGAGCATCAGCCCACTCCGTCTAGCAGTCCCCAAAATCCGCACCCACATCGTTCGCGCGTTGGACGCAGCTGGCAAGCCGACTGAACTACCTGCCCCTGGCGCCGACTCAACCTCTCCGAAAAGTCGCGTGGACGTCATTTTCGAAGCTCGAAACCCTTCAGCAGCAAGCTTGACTGGTCGCGCTGGGGACCGGGAGCCGGTACGTCTGACTTTGTTCCGCGGAGACCAGCCTTTGTGGCAGGATTTCTTGCCGCGGAATGTTCTTCTTGTGACTGGTAATCAATGCATCTGGGCAGCTGCCTGCGAGGATGGATCAATCTACCTTTGGACCCCGGCCGGCCGTCGTCTCGTCAGTGCGCTTGTTCTCGAGGCACAGCCTGTTATCTTGGAGTGCAACGGACCGTGGCTCCTGTGCATCAACTCTGTGGGCATGTGCTATGTCTGGAATGTGAAGCACTTGTCTTCTCCCCCACCCACCCATCTCTCTCCAGCCGGCCCTGGATGCTGCTGTCCATGCACTCGGTGGGAGCCTCACCACCGCTCCTGCAGTGACCGAGGCACGCATCAACTCAGAGGGCAGAATCGTCGTTTCGCTGTCCAACGGCGAAGGATACTCCTACTCCCCTGCTATGTTCACGTGGCAGCGTGTTTCGGAATCCTGGTGGGCTGTCGGTAGCCAGTACTGGAATACCACAGATGCCCCAGTGAGCAACTTGCAAGCCAAGGATGCCCAACAGGATAACAAGGATGCCAAAGCGGCCGTCGCAGCCGGCATCATTCCATGGTTGGAACGAAACACCACAAATGAGTTCCTCCTTCGTGGCAGAGCATACTTCCTCCAGCGTCTTATCAAGGTTCTGTTATCACGCGAAGGATATGAGACGTTCGAGTCCACTGTTTCTATCGCTCATCTCGAGAACCGTCTTGCCGCTGCTTTGTCTCTGGGCGCCAAGGAAGAGTTCCGGTTGTACCTAAACATGTACGCCAAGCGCATCGGTGCCGAGGGCTTGAAGCTCAAGGTTGAGGAGCTGTTGAAGAGTCTAATTGGCGGTCTGTTCGAGGACGAGGATGATGTCAGCGAGGCAGTCTCGAAATTGCAGGCCAACGAGCGCGAGGGTCGTAATTGGCGTGAAGGATCCGATGATCTGTGTGGCTGGCCACGGGAGACCTTGCTGAAGGAGGTTATCCTTGCACTTGGTATGTTACTTGCTTTTGCTCCTGCTTGAGCCAATAGCTAACGAAATCACCTCTAGGTAAACATCGGGACCTGCAACGGGTGACCGTGCCTTATGCCAAGCTGTTGGACATGGTCGACGCTGTCTCCGAACAGGGCGACGCAATGGACCTCTAATGACTTTCTTCTTACTAAGGCTATGTGTGCAGGTTCTTCGTGTGTTATGGCGTTCGATGGGAATGGGTCACGCAAAAGGGTTTTGCATTGTCTATCTGCTGAGGCGGGATTGGGTTGATATTTGTATCATAGGTTCTCTCTAGGGTTGCTTTGCATCAGGTCAACCTGTTTCAATCTTGCTATGGGCTGCTCATACATCTGGATAGACAGTAAACCTAAGAACAATACCTCAGGACTGCCCAAATAGGTTGATTACGTACCAGTCCGTCATGACGTCGTTCAGGGCTTGACTTTCACGTGAGCGGTGATAGCTCTGCAGGCAGAAAATTCGACAACATTTGGCGCGAACCTCATCAACATTGCTTCTCGATAGCTGAATACGCATTCATTTAACTCTCTCCTTACTTGTACTTATTCTTGCCCACAATCGCTGTGGGCAACCGCCATCACGTCTTCCACATCCATCCTCTTCCTTCGTATCGTCGATCGATCCGCAGCTGGTCCTGCATTTGGCGCGCTCCCCTGTTCCCGCTTCCGCCTTTCGACTTCCCCCCACCTCCCACCTCCCTTCTGTCGCTTCTACTCAAGCAAGAAGAAAAAATCCAATAAAATGCCTCCCAAGAAGCAGCAAGTTCAGGAAAAGATCCATTTGGGTCGTCCAGGAAACAACCTGAAGAGTGGTATCGTATGTGAGCAAGGACCCCACCTTTTTTTTTCCCTTCCTTTTCTTCCCACACAGCACAGTCCACTTTTTAATTCCACAAAAAACTATTTAAATCCCCCCTTGCCCCCTTTCCTTACAACTTTTTTTTCTTTCTTTCTCAACCATGTGATCCTAACAATGGCTTCAGGTTGGTCTTGCCAATGTCGGCAAGTCGACACTCTTCCAGTCCATCACCAAGTCCTCCTTGGGTAACCCGGCCAACTTCCCCTATGCCACCATTGACCCCGAGGAGGCCCGCGTTATCGTCCCTGATGAGCGGTTCGACTGGCTCTGCGAGCACTACAAGCCCAAGTCCCAGGTTCCCGCCAACTTGACCGTGTACGATATTGCCGGTCTCACCCGCGGTGCCTCGACTGGTGCTGGTCTCGGTAACTCCTTCCTGTCGCACATTCGCGCTGTCGATGCCATCTTCCAAGTGGTTCGCTGCTTCGATGATGCCGAGATTATCCACGTCGAGGGAGATGTCAACCCTACCCGTGATCTGACCATCATCAGCGAGGAGCTGCGCATCAAGGATATCGAGTTCGTCGAGAAGGCCCTTGAGGCCCTCGGCAAGCAGACTCGCCGTGGTGGACAATCTCTTGAGATGAAGAAGCTTAAGGAGGAGGAAGCCACCACTGCCAAGATTCTGCAGTTCTTGAAGGATGGTAATGACATCCGCAAGGGTGACTGGAGCCCCAAGGAGGTACGTTTTGACATATTCCTATCTTTCCTTCCCTGCACCGCATCTGCCTGTTTCCACCTCCCCCAACTCCTACAGTGATGAATAAGAGCACTGCTCGAAATTAACCCAGCTCGTTGAGTGCCCTCATTAAAAGGATACTCACAATCCGAGGGCACCTTGAGAAAAAAAGTTATATGCTGAAATTTGGAGTCCACTTTACATGATTGCATCACTCAAATTGTTTGAGACAACTCATGCTAACCTACTTGGTTCTAGGTCGAAGTCATCAACCCCCTGTTCCTCCTCACTGCCAAGCCCGTTGTGTACCTTGTCAACCTGAGCGAAAGAGATTACATCCGCCAGAAGAACAAGTACCTTCCCCAGGTCTTCGAGTGGATCAAGACCAACTCCACTGGCGACCCAATCCTGCCCGTTTCTGCTCAGTTTGAGGAGCGTCTCACTCTGATGCACGATGATGCTGCCGCTGAGGCAGAGTGCAAGACCTTGGGCACCAAGTCTGGTCTGCCCAAGATCATCACCACCATGCGTCAGGCCTTGAGCTTGGCCTCCTTCTTCACCACTGGTGAGGACGAGGTCCGCCAATGGACCATCCGCAAGGGTATCAAGGCTCCCGCTGCCGCTGGTGTCATTCACACCGACTTTGAGAAGACGTTCATCCAGGCGATTGTGTACAACTACAGTGTGCTGCGCGAGCTTGGTGACGAAGGTGCCGTCAAGGCCGCCGGTAAAATCATGACCAAGGGCAAGGATTACGTCGTCGAGGATGGCGATATCATGCTCATCAAGGCCGGTGCTGCCAAGCACTAGGTGCATATAGACAAATAGTTTGAATGATACACCAGTGTTGATGATACTCATACCACAGTCCTTATTCTGTTGTCACCCTGTCAACTTTGGTTCTTGTGAACAACCTCTGTTGGATGTAGACGTAGTTGTAAACATGACCTTGCAGCATCCTGTTCTGTTCAACACGATACCTCTGCCGATATGAGAATTGGTGGTTTGCTATCCAGCTCAGACCATTTGGGAGATCCCAACCCTCTAGGCCAAGTACTCCGGGTGGTAGAAAGGGAAGAAAAAGCAGAGCACTCTATCAGGCACGTGACCTGGTCCCCCGCGCATCCCACTTGCGTTATCGAGAGCTTTGCCGTCATAGCATTCATACACCCACCAGCATCATGTTCAAGAAAGAGTGAGTGAAACCCCTCCATCAATCCTCCGAGAGGCCTCCATACGCATAGCGGCTTGACCTGAGCTTCCTGCTTGCCAAATAGGTGCACGCATCTTCCTCCACCTGAAGACGACGTGAAGAGCGCAGAAGCTGCCAAAAATCCCCAATCAAGGAATAGACAGCTTCCATGGGACTTGAATCACGCTGTGATTATCAGTCAAATAGACAGATAGACAGACAGGCTAACCCAATTGCTTCATCTAGTATCCCCCCAAGCAACCGGTCGAAGGTCAAATCCTCCGTGCAGCGCGGCCTGCGCCAGAAGCTGCTGGAGACATATCCCGGCTTTGAGCCATTCATTGAAGATATTATGCCCAAGAAGGCTTCATTGGAAGCCGTGAAACTGTACGATACAACTCCCCTGGATTTCTCCAGCATCGGCATCTCCGCTCTCACCACTGCCTACACCCAAGACCGCAAGCTAACCAAAACAACTCCAGTCCCGACCGCGTGACCCTCTACACAATAGACTCCACCCCGCTCTTCTTCCAACCCATCGACGGACCGCCCGTCCCTCACCTCCGCCTCATCCACGCCTACCCCTCCGCCATCCCGACAATCCAGATCGACCGCGGTGCCATCCGCTTTGTGCTCTCCGGCGCAACCCTCATGGCCCCCGGTCTTACCTCGCCCGGAGGCCGGCTGCCTGATGCCGAGCATGCGCTTGAGGCGGGACAGATTGTCGGCGTTAAGGCTGAGGGTAAGGAGGAGATTTGCCTGGTTGGTATGCTGAAGGTTGGCACCGAGGAGATCAAGAGTAAAGGGAAAGGTGTTGTTATGGATGAGGGACATTATCTTGGTGATGGGCTTTGGAGATTGCATTTGGATTAGTGCGAATTGGATGGCATATACACAGTTATTAGGTCGTTTGTTTAGGCTTGGAACTATAGGCATGTATGGTGATTATGTGTTGGATGAATTGAATGAAATATTCCCCTGCATGAGTGTCCAGAATCCAGATATCGGTGAAGTCAACTGTCGAGTTCTACCCTTACCTCTACCTGGAAGTCAGTTTTTGTCGTTGTGAAGCAATCCTTCTTAGAAAATGATCTCTTCCTAACTACTGGCTACGACATCCTGAAACTGGGCGGTACTACTACTGGTAGAACCCAGGAGAAACTACATGTGAAGCAGAAGATAGCCGAGTGCAGCGAGCCCAGTCAAAAGACGCGAGAGGAACCATATCGCTGTAGCCTGTACGCAGTACGGAGTACGGAGTACTGCGATGATACGCCCTCTAGGTGCTTGAGTGAGACAGCAAATCGAACAAGACTAACAAGTACGAATTCGTTCTGTCGTGTTAAGCTACAAAGCGTAACGTCCGTCTGCACGGAGCTGTCAGCCTGCACACGACCTGGGTGGGGTATTATGGCTCGATGGCATACAGTAGAAGCTACAGGTGTTATTGATACTGTCAGGCAAGGTAGGACTAGGCAATTGAAACGAATCAATAAAACAGCGCAGGATGCGCACATTAATCTGGCGATGTAGTGTCGTCTACAGCCATAAACGAGACCTCGAAAGGCCAATTATCCTCTTTGCGAACCAAAAGGTGCACTTCTCATCACGTTTTGCATAACGAAAACATTTCAAGCCTGGGTTCTCACCATCCACAGTCTGATATTTGATTTGTACCTACTACACTGAAGTTTGGCATCACAGCAATCGGCAGGTAACCCGTCAGTACCAGCTTAGAGGTTGAAGCCGAGAACACCAGCCAGAAGACCAGCGACAACGCCGGGAGCAGCAAGAGCCATCGCACTACCCTTGGAGTGAGTTGGAAGGGCAACTGTAGTGGTCGTGCTACCAGCAGAGTCGGTAGCGTAAGAGGTGCTAGTTGCCAGATCGGAGTCGCTCGAAGTCTTGACAGTGTTGGTGGTAATTCTGGTAGTGGTGATAAGTTCAGTGGCTGTAGTCGAGGAAACAATGGTGTTGTTTCCGCCAGTGGTATGAGTGCCAATGGTCGACTCTCCCGTGGAAACCGCGGTGGTGGGAACACTGAACGTCAAGGTACCGGTGATGGTGAGCTCAGTCTTGGTGGAAACATCAGTCTGAGAAGTAGCAGTGGCTGAGGTACCAGTCGAGGTAGCTGAAATGATCGAAACGGTCAATGTAGAAAGTCCATCGGCGGTGGAAGCTTCGTTGGTGGTAGAGGCACCCTCGGTGGTAGAAGCGTTCGACAGGCCCTTAGCGGGAGGGACAACCTCGAACTGCGGAGACTGTGCCAGGATGCCGGTGTTCGGGACTGTGTTGGACACCAGGTTAACTTGGTAACCGATACTGGTGCAAGTCAGATATTAGTTTCCTTGAACATGTCCAAATCCGATAGACGGGGGACGGGTGGTTGATTCTTACCCATGGTCGATGTCCTTCAGACCAGGGACTGTGTAGGAGCCCTTGGTCGTGTCAATACCGGAGGCGACCCTCTCTTCAACCCTGGGATGGGCATTGTTGTTGACAATCACGATATCGAAGGTCTTGGGATCGGTCCTGATTCTTGTCAGTTTCACGTAAGCTGGGGAAACAACATATGGTATACACACTCGACGGAGGACCACTTCACGGTGAAGGGGACGGATACATCAATCGCGTTGCCATTCTCAGGTTCGGTGATCATGAGACCTTGACTGATGTTAGAAAGAGCCTCAGTCTACACGGGCGATCAACTTACCACCAACCGAGATAGCCAGAGGCAGAAGAATCAAAGTGACTGAGAGACGCATCTTGAGTCAATCGAAGTGTCGATGGACGATGAAACAATGTGATGAGGAGGGGAAGATGCGTGAGAGAGACGTTACCAGTCGAGCAAACACGCAATATAAGAGTGTCACCAGGTGACTTCCCTCATGTGATTCTTCAACCGCTGACGCGCCTTTTGACCCAGTTGCCTCCTGAGCCAGTCCAGCCTGATGACATCTTGATATTCCGATAACCGGGACGGCTCTGTTGTAGAAAGTGGAGCAAAATGTCTATTGCAGATCGGCAGACTCGAAAATCCAGGATGAACTGTCGATTTTGTCTGCCCTGCGTCTACGTCGGTAGGTAGTGGATGGTCGAAGTAAGATAATATCTACGTATCTAGTCGGAAGCGAGTGTACCTAGTTCTTCGTACACGTGCCCTATCTCTCTCAAGAAGTGTACAACATAGCCTTGGTGGCGGTAGTGCTGTCTACGTATCTGGCGCACCTCGATAAAGACATGGATGGGCCGCGACGCGCGATATCAGAATGTCCTCGAGCTGCGTGAGCTCAGGCAGGTGTGAGGGTACCCGATCCGGCTGTATCCCATTCAATTGACCATACAGCCATACTGGTTGGTCCTTGTCTGCCTTTCGGCAGCGCTGACACCGGGACACGCCCATCCTCAAGCTTCATGTCAAGCCACCACTCCAGGCAATGTGAGCAGGTCTTCATTTTGTAGTCTTGCTGCCGGGCCTGGAAGGGCAAAATCAAGTGGCAATCCCGACTGCTAACATCTTGTTTGTCTGAGTACGTGGGATCTGCGAGTACTGTTGGAGGTGCTGATGAAGGCGAAGGCCTTGATCTCGACTGGCTGACATTCTCATGGCACTGCAGGCATTGCATCGTCACTGTATCCACGCGCCTCGAGCAAAAGTGGTCGATGGAAGCCTTCGATTGGAACGGCCTATCCCGTGACACCCAAGGGAAAATCGCTGCGCAGGTTGCTGAAATGATCCAAGAGATGCACTCTATTGAGCTTTTGCAGCCTGGCCCCACTGGTGGAGGACCATGTCGGGGTCGGTTCTTCACAGATTACAGCGCTGGGCCGTTTATGGACACTGCTGAAATGGAAGCTTGGTTTAACCACAAGCTCGATATCTGCAAGAGCGTCCATCAAGCCCCAAATGACATCCCTCCATTCCATTTGACCAAGTTTGTTCTTACACACCACGACATCAGTCCTCAAAACCTGATCTTAGATCAAGATGAACAAGTGTGGTTGGTTGATTGGGCATATTCTGGTGCATATCCTCCTGTCTTTGAAAGCGCGGCATTGGCAATCCAGCCATTTTTCACTGATTTCAATAAAGCGGTGTTATCCCTTATTCCACGCTACCCTGAGGAGGAAAGGCAACTTGATTCAATTGCATATGGATTAACCACCGCGGCATTGGCCTAAGGGAGGCTTAAATGGAAGCGGACGACACCCGTCGCGGCGTACCATATCTCCCACCAGGTCAGAAATAGCTGGTTGAAGGAAATTCCGTTGGACAACAATGAGATTAAAACATTTCACAATGCTAAAATTCCTCTTGTTCGTTCGCTTCCACTTGTTCATGCTCTATACCTTCTGCTTGTCTCCAAAGGGGAGGAGAAATTACCCTCAACATGAAGCACATAGGGAAACGAATGTCCACCCAACCTAACGTGGATCCTCGTTGTTCGGGCACCCCGGATATTCGGGCAGGAACTTCAAAACATCAACTTTCCTACTTTTTTTAAACGCCAATTAATCAACCAGAAACCCATAAATTTTACTAAACTAAGTTTTGGGGCATTTGTTAAGAGAATGCCCTTTTTTATGACACCCAGAACAGGCGATTTGCCGACGCATAGGGGGTAAAACATGGAGTGTAGGTTCAACATAGGGTTCTAGAGCGGATGTAGGACGAGATATATATCTCACACTTGCACCTTCCTCACCACCAACATTGGTAGTAGGACCATAAAGCTCGGTTAAACCGCCTCTACTGGGTATTTGCTTCATTAGTTTGTCCATCTTTCTTGTCTGCTTTCTGTTCCATTCCCATAAATGCTCAATTTCATCCCGCATCAAGATACGCTCATCAACTAACTTGACCGACAATATTCACCCATTTGCGACTGCCATCCTGCAAAACACCCCTCCGACCGGTACAGAATGACTGTGTAATGTCATTTGTCACTGCAGTAACTCCCATTGCAAACCCTGGTTCGTCAAAGTTGTTGATATCATCCGAAGTGATACCATATTGAGCACTCGTTTTTCCAACAGGCTTGAACCTCTCAATAATGGTATTTGGATCTTCCAGCAAGTCGCGTTTATAGCTATAACCACGAGAGAATTGACTAGAAAGCTCGGGATGTCGTTTGATGTATCGTGTTGGCCAATTATTGCCAACGGTCTGGAGGGTATCCCCTCTGCGGGTTTCGAGTTGTATATTGGCTATATCTCTCGACATGGCGATCGTAAGAGCAGCACCTCTAGTAACCATAGAGATTAACCTATCCTGGATTGATCCTCTTAGTGATGGGTGAATTTATGGCTTGTAGCCCTCATGACAGACCAAATAGTAACCACCTGAGTCCCGCGTAGACCGCGGGAATTTGAAAGAGCGAGCAGCAGCAGCAATGGAGGTAACCCAGCCATTTTTAATAACCTTAATTACAAGCAGAATTCTGTCTACCTGCTCAACTAATTTCTAAGATTTTTGACCACGGATTGGTGGCATGGTAGGCATTTGAAAATTGGAGGTTTGGTGAGGAGAGGAAAATTGAGGTGCCTGCCCGAATATCCGGGGTGCCCGAACAACGAGGATCCACGTTACCACGACCACTGAAATCCCAACAAAATCGTGACGCGCTCCGGCACTTGCAGATGCAAAAAGGAAAGACTTTGGCATTTCTTTTAGAATACGCCACAATGGCAGCGCGAGTGCGATAATTTTTCACGCTTTTTCAAGATTGTTCTCAGCCGATTGCCAATACAGCCGGGCAATACTTCGAGCCAAGCGTCACGAGCAAACTTGAAGAGAAACGCTAACCGCTTCTGGCTCGTATGAAGCCTGAGGCTGCAGCCTCAATTCAAAACGGGTACTTACGTAGACTGCAGGTGTTCACTCATTAATCCTAGACGCAGATCTTCCGGTAAAGCCCCACCCTCTGCGCTATGTAGAGGGCTGGTGGATCACGATCGTCGACTCCGAACCTTCTATGTAAGCACTAGCAGAGGCCCCCTGTTCGTATAACAACTAAGTTCTGACCACACTGACAGATAGGTAGTGGAAGCCACAGAAATACAAACTCTTCGGTCTAACGGCTTGAAAACTTTCTCTGTTCCTGCCCAGGATTCATACAGTTAAGCGGAAGCGGTGCGCAGCAGAGATGAAGAGCAGACCAAAGAAGGGTGAATCTAACATGACAATCTATTAACCCTCGATGAAAAGATAAAGACGGCTGTAGGCCATGGCCCACCCAGTCACAACAAGTATATAGAAGTCTTCTCAAAGTCTATCGAGGTACCTGCAAAGCTCGTTTCCTGCAGGCCCGATCACCCGTGGTAGGCACAGGCTTTGCGAGTCGCAAGCACCAACAAAACGCATACTCGAGCGGAAGTAACAAGATAAGAATCCTATTGCAGTAGAAGGACAGGGTCACCGTAAAGATGGCCACCACAGCATCGAGCCAGTAGTGATTGGCGGTGGCGACAATGACGCTGAGGACCAAGATTGGATAGCAGATAGCGAGTGCCAAAAAGCCAAATTGGGTCAGAGATGACGTCTGCGTTGACTGTCCCCGGAGTCTCTGCAGTACTCCAGAGTAGTGCAGAAAGGTGCAGCCGATCACAAAGGCATAGGTGAAGTGAAGACTCGGCATGGCTGCAAATTGATTCACGGACTTTCCGCCGACCCAGATGCTTTCCGCGTTGCCTTGTCGGACGGTGTCGTAGAATCCGTACGAGTCCGGGAGCAATCGTGGCGGCATGCATGGGTAGAAGCAGAATACCAAGAAGGCCGCAAGATTCCCCAGAGTCATGGTCCGGCGGGCCAGGGCAAAAGATGCATGGTCCTTGGCAACATAGTAATACCAGGAGAGGAATCTATCAGGTCAGTCGATGTGTCGGTGCATTGCAGGCAGGTGGGCGTGGGATTCAATACTCACAACACTGTTCCGGGAATATGAATTAATGAATAAATCCGGTTGAACATGGTCAGAATGGAGGGATGATTTTGAATGAAAAAGGACTGGAAATCCGATTCCTGGATAGGGAAGACCCAGGACGCGGTGTTATGTTCAAAATTGAGGATGTCAATGGCGTGGTCTCGCGCCACTTGGACGACTCCTATCTGGGCCGGGGAGAGCCACTGTGCTACTCCTTTGGTCACGGAATAGAACAGATAATTCATGATCCAGTAGAACATCTCGACCAAAAAGGGCAGTTTCTGCAAGATTCTGCTGTGATAATAGTGCGCCCAGCGTGACGAGTCTGGCGTCTTGATGCGGAGCCCGAATACAGTCTCCGATTTGGCATGAAGCTCGCTGGCGAGTTGAGCATCGCCCTCTTCCAAGAGAGCGTAGTCTCCAAACCGGGCTTGCTCTTCATTGGCACTTTTACTGGAGTCTCGGCGGCGATTCACAATCAACGATCCCACCATAATCCCCACCACCACCTGCACACAGAATTAATATCAAAGGCTCTCGATAGGCCCGGGGAGGAGGGGGGGGACATACAATCGGCTCCAGCCATGCGTGAGACGCTAATTGGGGTTTACCCAGGTCGGGTGTCTCGCGAGTAAAATTGGTCGCCATATTTATATATATAAAGATGGTCAAATGGCCTTGTTTCCCCCGAAGCCAAATCGTGACCAATGGTGAAAGAGATTCCTCCTACAGGCTTGGAAATCCAAGCAAAAATGAGGAAAACACAGAGGAAGGGGGGACGCGAGATGCGAAGGCTGACCGGATGAACATGTCCGAGGCTGCATAACGAGAATACTCAAAGGTGGAGATTGACCTCTCTCATGATTGGTGCGCGTATTCGTGTTAGCTTTCGCTTTTCGCTTCTTCTTTCCTTGCTTCGAGCTCACTAGCTTCATTCAAGCTGGTTGTATTTCTCTATTTCATGTTGAATTGTCAATATATCCTTTGTCTCGGGCAAAGTATCCTCTGTGTTGTGACTGTTGTCCTTGTTTCACAACTCTAAAGGGGAGATCAATTCCTTGACCTGGCTGTAACAAAAAAAATAATATTTAAGCAGAAAGTTTATAAGCCACGCTAGTCCAGATCGGGTCCAATCATGCAGTTGCTCCTTGGCACCAAAGTGGGGGAATTCCAGCCAATCAGAAACAGGTGATTTGCCACTAAATCGAGTCGTCCCGTGACTGACCAGACCGACGACTCAGAGATTTGCATTCCAAAATTTACCAAATGTCTACGAAATGGAGCTTACAATTACTACTCCCATCATAACATCATATGAACAGATATACCTAGTGATATACAGTATTATATTTGTATACTATCAACCAACATGTATGAGAGAAAGCAGCTCCCAGTTACCAGATGAGAATGCTGGATGATTTTCGGACTCTGGATCCGAGCGAATGAAAGAGTTGGAAAGGAACAAAACCATGGCAACCTCTCTCCGCAATACAATGACTAGGGGACAGGCAAAGGTAGCCCCTACTTCGGGCGCATTGGAGCAGCACCTGGGTAGGGCTTGAGGCTCCCCTCGAGACTGCGAAGCCCTGGAGCTGGGCATGCTTGTTGATCGCTTCAACAGCCTGCTCAATTGAGCGATACAAGGGCTTGCCAAATTCAGAGATAGACGAGGGAGGGAGGGCGTTGAAAATGATAGACATGATGAATGCAGAGGCTGGATACGGGGGATTGACGGCGTGACGCGGGCGGGAATATGGAAATTGGCAATGAATCAGCGAAGAAACAGGATACGGATACATCTGACGTACATGGATAGAGGAACATCTGAGAAGCATGTGATGGCCTAGTATAGGTCATGGCAACGGCTTTTGTCCCAGTTTGAACCTTGATGGAATGATATACCTATCTCATCACCATTTCCCCATCATGCAAGCCCTCATTAGTACACGGAAGTTAACACAACCACGGGGTTTTATAACCTAGAACATCGCCGGGCGTCACTTCGACACACCAAGAGCGAGCTGGGAGGCGAAATTAACTTGCAGTTTTTGTTCACAAGGTATTGCCGTATTGGGAACACGACCTCGAGCTCTTGTTGGATTATTCTCGTGTTGGTCCCTACCGGCATACCGAACTGTCTGTGTTTGGTGTTGACAAGAAAGGCTACAAAAGGTATAGTGAGTACAGAAGGTTCATTGGGTAATAAGTCTAATCAAACAAAATGCTGTGGTCCATCCATGGATAAACAGATATGGTCATAAGCCATCCAATGGAGGTCAATGCCTCTCACCACTAGGGATCCATTTGTAGAGAGCTCCATGCCGGTTGGGTTGGTCGGGGTGCATTAGACGCAACATCACCTGGAAAAGTGCTCCAAGATCAACCTAATCCCATTCGGAATCCATCGCGCCTTCCAAATATTTTCCATCCCCTCCCCGTTTCACTTCAGATCCCTCATCTTCCTGCTCTTCGGGCTTGCCGAAAAGGATCAGAGGCCTAAATGGGTGGAACAATTTTCGCTTTGGTCCCTTTGGCCTTTCCACCTTAGCCTTCGCCCTCCGAATCGCTGTAGACGCAAATTTCTTCGCAAACGTCTCTAGTCCAGGCTTGACAACATCGTAGTGAGCGTCGTGCGCCATTTCGTCCCAGAACTCCAGGATCCCCACCCAGTCTCCCCTTGCTAACCTGTAGTTTCCGGTTTGACAGATGTCCCAGTGCAGTCTGAGTTGGACAGCTAAATTACTCCAGATATCTATAGAAAGTGAGATGTTAGAACAGAGGTTTGTACATCAGCGATAATCGAAAAGTAGAAAAGTCTAAGAACATACCTTTGATGAAATTCTTTCCAAGCGGAGATGTCTTATCCCAATCCAAGAGCCGTTGAATCCAGTAGAACACGTCGGCGAAATCCCGGGGGTTGAAATTATGACGAAAGTACGAATGTAGAGCCCCTGGGTCCGTCATGTTCTTGAGGACAATGTCCTCGGTAACAACGTCCTCAATGTACGCCTGGTTACAACCTATTAACCTCTGCAAAAACGAGAGAACTCGATAGTAAAAAAAACTTACCTTGAAGCGTTTCATCGTGGTGCTCTTCCAACCACGAGTCCAATTGCCAACGTCTTTGTACAACTGATTGTACTCGTAAGTGTTACTGTCCAGGTTGGGAGAGATCGTCCGAATCAACTTGTCCGTGTCCTCATATGCTGTGAAGTAGCGAAGGTAATGCCACCGTACGACTTCATTGAGACGTTCTCGGTCACCCACTCCCTCTTCCTGGGTAGACACTGTGTTGGGAGGTGGGTTCCGACGACTGTAGGTTCTCCTCTTCGGGGACGGGGGATCACCGGAGAAATACGTAACAAAATTGCTTGACGAGGGACTGTTGCTTCCATCACTGGTGGATACCGGGGTCTCACACTGTGTATGCTTCATTAGTATCAGTACTGATTATAAAAAGGATGAATATTCAAGACAACGATAATAACATACCTCCCGGTTACGCTTTCCTAGCTGGCTTTTGAACCTAACGGGGGATCTTCTGTAAATAGAGCATGGTCATGACCGCGCATGGATGCCGGAAGTGGCGGGGATGAAGGTGGTGTTCGATTTCGGGTATTGTTGTGAGTAGCCATCATGGATGGAGAGATCCCTCGTATGATGGTGTCAAGTAGGATGGTTTAAGGAAGATCGAGGGAGTAAAGATGAGGAGGAAGTGGATGGGGGTGAAATAGGTACGCGGATGTGGCTCCATCGCGCTGATCGCGCTAGTGACACGTTTCGCGAGCGCGTTTCTGTCCCATTAGATGGATATTTTTCAGGTTAGAAGGTTTTAAGTGGTGACTAATATAATAATCTATGCGTTAGCACTTCGGAAGATCGTAATTGCTCAATGGAATATCATTGTAGGCCGAATGAAGATAATTATTTAGATCGACTGGAATGCAGATATGAAAGTGTGGGGAAACCGTATTCTCACTATCAAGATAAGATACCGTATCTGATAAGATACCGTATCTCAGGGTCTACCGTATTTTCGTTGCATACTGTACAGTGTCATTGGTTGTTCATCTTCCTTTCGTACCTGAGCGTAACATTAAACTAAGCATCCTACCTCAAAAGACCTGCGCGTAGAACAATGCCCGTCGGTCTGGTACTTGAGTGAACTTGGTAAACGAGAGTCGCGCACGCAATGGATGCGACTGTTACGGAAAGGGAAGACAGCAGAAGCCATGAGACTGGACATTTACTAGTTGATGAGTTCAGTATTAAGTTAGCTAAAGATAGTGGTGCAGTCCATCACCCTGGCCTAACCTGCGACAGCGACCATGACAACCGTTCTCCTATGCCCATGGTTTATTCCCGGTGCCAGAGCCTTGCTTCCCCCGGGGACGTTGCTCACGTTGCTTTTCTGCAGAGTTTGGGTCACCGGGCGTCTCGTTGACTTTCGTTCTTAGTAGCGAGAGGCTGCTGACCGCAAGAAGGTCCTCGAGGTTGGTGCCTCCATCGGGCGCAAGCCCACCACAGTCGCCGAAATCTCTCAGAATCTTGTCGATGATCTCCCCCTGGCCACTCATATGTAGGAAGTTGCCAATACACGCGTGGATTTGGAGAAATCGGGGGTCTGGAAGTTCCCAACTTCCTTTGTGGACCCTGAAAGCGACGAGCGAGTTCTCGGGCAACTCACGTAGTACACTTGTTGGGACCGCCCCTGGAAAGGCCTTGATCCGGTACTGGTGAGGCACGCCGGCTGCTTCAAAAACGATGTTGAATTGACCGAATTCTTTGTGAAACCGCTGGTCTAGCATCATCATGTTCTTCTCCGAATTGATCTGTTCTGAGGTGAAGGACATCTCACGAAGAACTGGAAAATATCGCTTCAGATTGACCCAGATACTCGCATGTCTATTAAATACCTCGCTGTCACTGGCCCGAAACGATCCAAGAGCAAATGGAATGATGTGAGCAGCTTCAAGACGGGTCGTTAGTGCGTTGGGTGGATGGTCGTGGTCGAAACTGTAATACCCCGTTGCAAGGCATTTATTCCCATCTCTCTCTAGGCAGTGGCGCCGGAGTTGCAACTGGGGGTTTCTGGTGATGGGCTCGATATTGAGGCCCTTGAGAGTCTCGGTTGAATCTTCAACCCCAGAACGCGGAGACGGAGTGGCTTCGGTAGGTGTCTTGCCGCCATGCGCTCGCATGGGTACTACTAAACCAGTCCTGATACTTTCGACCAGTTGCCGAAGCTCTTCGTCGGTTTCACACGCTAAAATATCTTCCACCAAATTGTTGCTTCCGTCAGTAGTTAGTACCTTGCAGAAGTCACGTAAGAAGTCAGTGGTATTGTCCACCGTTCCAGATGGAATATAAGCTCTCAGCCTTGGGCTCAGCTTTCGCTCCATTTTCTAGCTTGATTATGAGAACACCGAGAAGACTTGAAGGCATAGAAGGACTCACCGTCTTGGATGAGGACGACATCTTACTGATCACCCAGCTTGGGGTCAGTCTGGAGGGTAATTAGTTCTGGTTAAAGTAAGGCGGCCGATTCAACTTGTCAGTCGAGGACATTCGAAGGTTTTGTTTTTGTGATGCACTGATGATATTGATGACTGGGTACGATCGATTGGTTCAAGGCTTGGCTAAAAGGCCCGATGACGAAGAGTGCGGATTGGTTGGTGGGGAGCTGTGCGAACGGCGCAACTCAAAGCCACTTAAGCCACTTAAGCCATCATCTGGCAGGAAAATGGGAGTGTGAGATCACTTTGAATTTATTATCTTAGATCTAACTATTCTAATGCTCATTGATTATCAAGATGGATCTTCTGCAGAATATGGGTTTTCATCTGATAGATCACCATCTCGCCCGCTGGGAAGAGGGGACAGGGACGAGGTTCGGGAAAGAGATGACCACGATGGCGACCTGACTGCTAGGTTCAACCCCAGGCCATGGATTTCCGCAGATCCAAACCGAGTGACCGCGCCAGAGGGTGCGCCCTTGGTGGCAGGCCGTGAGTCGGATCGTAGACCAACTCGGGCAATCGCGCGCTTGAGCATATCCCCAGAAGCATCCAGTGCAATGAGGAAGCGGGCCAGCTCAGCACACAACTCCCAGTCGCCCTTTTGGGAGGCGAGAGCAATTAAACGAACGACGTATTCTTCGATGCGGCCGTCATTCCCTTGCTCCTCATCGTCCTCAAAAGCTTGCAGCACAAGCAGGTAACCAACGGCGGTTTTGAGGGCATCAAGTTTCAAGGCCTGTTCGAACAGGTCTTTGGGTGGAGGCAGGTAGGTGAAAAGCGTTCGCCATGACCGGAGCTCGGTTTTCCGTGTGCATTGCACAACAATCTCAAGGTACTCCCTGACCGGCAGAGACGCCTGAAGAAAAGCGATGACAGTGGGAAGAAGTGGTTCCGCGCGTTCTTGTGGTTTCAAACTCTTATTGGCTCGGCTGATATTGTCCACTTCGTCATCCAGTACGTGATGAAGCAGGATCTCCAGTCCATGGGCAAAATAAGACAGATGAGAGAAGTGACGACAAAGAGCAAGGGCAGCAGCTGTGCCAACATTGATAAGGCCATATTGGAGGATATATGGGAGGAAGAGGTGCGTCTAAGGCCCACAAGTCAGCAGAGAAGAAGTTTCAGAGAGAAGGTCACCTACCCGGATGGCAAACTTCAGAACAGTAAATGTCACGTCGCGTCGTTGGATCATTTCTGATTCAACGCCGAGCACGATGCCCTTGTTCAGCAAGACAGACAGTGGATAAAAGTCCAGAGGGATACTGAGTGGCGCCGGCACCGTCTCCTCCCGCAAAATATCTTCAACATCATTCCAAGCTAACAAATCTTGGCCACGGAACATCCATAGCGAGTCCCTAAGTGACAGACTGTTGTGAGGGGGCTCCAGTGCCATGTCAACCGAAGGACTTGCAGGCAAGGGTTCATCCATCTGGGGTGAGAAATTGAAGGATAACTGGTCACGCATCAAGATGTAATACTCCACATCATGGGATATTACGCGCATGTCGTATTTGAGATCGCCGGCATCCGACACAGTGGGCTGCAACAGGACCAAATTTCCGTCAACGAGTAGAAGAACGGATGCGACTTTCACGTCTTGCGATGGCTCACCATTTCCTGCGTTCCCGTCAGTACTATGCTTCAAAGTCAACCAGAGAAGAGAACAAGATCACTCACGTATTTGCTCCTCGGGTAAGACCCAGCTGATTGATCGGACGCGAGTTGGTGCGCGGACAATGCCATTGAACGCGATCTGCCCAACTGGGACGAGGGTTATTTGGGGTTGTGTTGAGTTGATGATATAATGGTACAGAATGTTATCGTAGGTATAGACCAAAAGAGAATCTTCCCCAGAGGCGCCAATGAACACAACCGGAGATGGTAAATATTCGGTGAACATGATCGAATTGTTACCGAGAGAAGCCTCGCGTGAATACAGGCGGATCTTTCAAGCCAAGTCAGGGTTGTCAAAACATAATGCAGGTTGGACAAGTACGGTACCTCGTATGACCCGTCGCTCTCGACTGCTGTGATCAGTATGTGACCGTACCAACACATGCCTCCCCGCACCGCGAACGAATGCTCGGCCTGTGAATCTTCAAATACTTTCCATCGTCCACTGTTGACGCTGTAGTGTGCGAGACCCCGTCGACCTGCGATTGCAACATATCGTCCATCTTGGGACACGACGCAAGATCGAATCGGCCACTGTGAATGGAGATATGCGGGAGGGTACTGGGCATGATGCCACAATGAATCCTTTCCTGAGATCGTCATGAGATCTGGAAGATCATGCCCTCGGTAGAGGATGAACTCAGTCCCCGTTTGCAGCAAGCCTCGAGCCAAATTTGCAGACGAAAAGCAACCAGTCAAGGCACTGCGGGCTGTCTCCAGCGCCCACAGGCGACGGTCGTTCCGTCCAGACAAAATGATATCTGACCCACCGCCAATCCAACATCCGTCCGCAACTCCAGTCAACCAATCCTCCCCATTGGTCTTTGCCAACTTCGAGTCCACCGAAAAGCTATTCCCCCCGGCCTTTCCAAAGACACTCCATATTGCCCAGCCATTTTCAAACCCAGCAAAGAGACAATATCCATCTGGGGAATAGCTCATGAAAGTTAGAGCGCCGGTGGTAGCAGGCGTTGCTGGCAGATGGAGCTTCTGTGAAAGTGGGATGTTGCCCATGTAATCCTTCGCAGTGTAGACTAGGACCTCACCGTTGGAGCAGCTCAGCGTTAAAAGGGAGAACCGGGCATTCACAGTCACCTTGAGCGCCTTTTCTCCGTCATCTTTCGGATCGTGGAAGCAATGTCCATGAAACAGACTTTTTACTTCATGGTCTTGCTGTGTCCCCAAATCGCGTTGCACAGCATATGCTTGACCATTGCTGGTAATCCAGATCAGAAGATTCATTGCACGATCATAAACCATGTCCACGATAGAGACCTTCTTGGGGGTTTTCAGAATGCGACTCAATAACTCTGAGGTGGTTTGGGTTGTTCCCGCCTCAGGCGTCCAGCGAATGCATTGTATGGCTGGTGGTTTCACAGTGGCGACGACAAGTTCTTGGTCCAGCGCCAGCGCCTTGACGATTCCCGACTCGACCTTGATCGCCATTCGGAAGCGGATGCTCAGGTCGCCAACCACATTGGCCTCTTCAACTGAAGAGAACAGAGCTAACTGTTGACGGCGATGATGTGTGGAATGGTCGAATCGTTGTTGATAAACTCGAGTTGTTGAGGCCGATGCCACCGAGTATGTGAGCAGGTAACCGTTCAGGGTCTGCACAACCAGTATAGTTGAATCCGGGCGCATGAGGAGTGAGACATTGGGGCCATATGTTTCCAGGGAGAATCTAGAACGGGTGACAGCGGTAACCACTGCTGTAGGCTGGACTGGTTGTTAGTGACCAGCTCCAACTCTGTCCATGAACCATGACATCACCATCAACATACCCTAGTCTGCCAAAGAGCAATTGACGACTCTGATATTGTAGCAAACATCAGACCAGAGCGAGATACGCAGATTCCCTTGATAGCTTCCTCTCCCCATCCTGCTTTGCCTGTTTCTGAGGGAAGATTGGTTCGCGACTCATTGGGCAGGGAGCCTGGAGACCCATGTTGAGCACGATCGTCGTTTGTGTTCTCGTTAATGTCGGAGGAGCTGCGGTCATGGATCGAAATCGATTCCTGGATATCGTGATCGTCATCGGAGGGGACATAGGCAATGTTGGGCCCGTTGACCGCGTAGACCCGGGGAACCCCATTGGGCCAGTACATTGCTCAGGTTGGGTTTAGGGGGAATTATGCACAAAGCTCACCTGGAGTCATCTCCAGCAATCGATTCTCCGTCAGCAGAGCAGACAACCCCCTATACACACACAATTCGAGCGCTAAAACAGAAAGTCCAACGGGTTGGAAACAGACCGGGGAATCGATAAGCTTCGATCACGTGCCGGAGCTCTTCCCCCGCATTGCCTCATCTGTTTCTACTCTTTTTTTTTCACTCTTCCCGTGTTAGTGATTCATGTACATCTTTTGTCTTTCAATTTGAAATATCACTTGAAACATCACTATTATGGTAGGACTTGCACTTGCTGTCTTAGGCTCGTGCTAACTTGATGACAGGCTCCAACCGATAGCAAGAAGCGCTTGGCTTTGGCCATCATCGATTTCCTGGGCTCTAGTCTGAAAGATGGCACACTTACCGCCGACGATGCCGAGTCGATCGAGATCGCACAGTCTTGTATCGCTGATACTTTCAAAGTTGACCCGACCGATGAAGCTGCTGTGAAAGATGCCGTGGGCGGACAATCGCTGGTGGGAATCTACAGTGTCTACGAGAAGTTGCGCAACAAGTCCACCCCGCCAGCCACTGGCGCCGGCGCTGAGACTTCCGGAGATGCGAAGCCCAAGGCGGGCACACCTACACCGGAATCCGACAAGCTGAAGTCCGAGGCTAATGCCCTCATGGCCAAGAAGGACTACGCCGCTGCCATTCAGCAATACACCAAGGCTCTCGAGATTGCTCCAGCGAACCCCATTTATCTTTCCAACCGCGCAGCCGCATACTCCGCTTCCGGCCAGCATGAAAAGGCTGCCCAGGATGCCGAACTCGCCACCGCTGCTGATCCCAAGTACTCCAAAGCGTGGAGCCGTCTCGGTCTCGCTCGCTTCGACCTCGGAGATTACCACGCCGCCAAGGAAGCATACGAGAAAGGTATCGAGGCAGAAGGCAACGGTGGCAGTGAGGCCATGAAGCGTGGTTTGGAAACCTCCACTCGCAAGCTGCAGGAGGCCACTCGTACCAGCGAGCCTCCTTCCGAGGAACTTGACACTGCACCTGGTGCCTCACGTGGTAGCGGTGGTGGTATGCCCGACCTTTCTTCCTTGGCCGGCATGTTTGGTGGCGGCGGCGGTGGTGCCGGCGGCGGTGGTGCCGGCGGAATGCCAGACCTGGGCTCCATGATGAGCAACCCGATGTTCGCCAGCATGGCACAGAATCTCATGAGCAACCCTGATATGCTTGGAAACTTGATGAGCAACCCTCGTCTTCGTCAGATGGCAGAAAGCTTCGGCCAAGGTGGCGGCGGCGGCGGCATGCCTGACATGTCCAGCCTGATGAGCGATCCCAGCATCGCAGAGATGTAAGTCTACCGAATGCCCAGGAATTCACCTACTGACAACTTGTTCATAGGGCTCGAAACATGATGGGCGGCGGTGCCGGCGGTGCCGGCCCTGGAAAATAGACCCAAAACCTGGAAGAGGGAATAAAATGGGAAGGCTCCATCTGATATACCATATAGCAAATCCATGTTTCAAAGCCTTAGAGTCTCCGTAGATATCGAAGCACTGGCAGCCCGAGGCCGTGAATTGTTGTCCTTTTCTCTTCCTTTCTTCCTGTTCTCGTCTGCCTCCCGTTCGCCTTTCAGCCTGGATCCATGCCGGAGGACTTTCTCCTCTTCTGCTTCTGGCCACTTGAACGCAACCGCAAAGAGGGAGGAAATGTTCCAGAACTCAGGTCTCAACGTGGCCTCGACCTGCTACCTCAGGCTATAGCGGGACCAGAGACTTCTTTTCTATTGGATCGTCCGTCGTTCGAATTGGATCATCGAGACCATTCCATCTGAGACCCCCATCACTGTGAACACTACCGGCGAGATCTCTTTCTATGCTGGAGTCACCGTAAGAGCTCATTGCCCAGCGCAGCCTCGGCCTAGCTCGACAAGGCCGCAACAAAGGTAAAGGTATGGGCAAAGGAAAGGCAGATTCGGGAGGAGTTTAGATGTCAAGTTCTATGTTGTACGATTGTCAGGTAGGTAGGATGCTCCTACAACTATGTATAGTCAAATGAAGGTGGAAGAAATCTATTCGTATATTTACACGATTTTAAGCATCTGCACGTCTCAGAGACCAGACCAGGTCGGCCCCAACAGAAACCAAAAAGAAAACGAACTGATGCAGTCATACAGGGCGGCGAGGGGAGAGTGAAAATAGAATGCACACAGACGCCAACAGAACACCTCAAGACCCGTGAAGATGGCATCGGATAGAGTCCAACACATGATAGTCTATGGAAAAAGCAATGGAAAAGTTCAAGACTGCGCAAGACCTGCGCTTGGAATACACCAAGCAGCTAGTAGTCCGACAGAATAAAGCATTAATACATGAAGAAAGGAAATTCTGTTTCACCAGCGAAGGCACGGAGTCACAGTCACTGGAACAGGCATAACCGTAACAGGCGCCAGGATCCACCTGGCTTGATATCAAATAGTCGTATTGTACAGTTGAGATGGATAGGAGTTCAGATGCAAGAGAAGGGTCCATGTGACGATATACCGACGAGAAGATGGAGAATGATCAGCAATGTATAGGCTGGAAACCGATCATGTTGTGCTCTTAGATGTAGTCACGGGCAGCCTTCTGCAGCTCGATCAATCTCCAGCCCCGGGTTTCAGGGTTGTTGACCTCATCGGGAATCCGAGTGAGTCCGATGGCGTAGGTGACGAGCTGCACCTTGTCATCCGTGCCAGCGGCCAGCTCGCCGGTCTTGATCTTGCGGTAGACGTGGATTTCCTGGGTCCGGCAGGTGACAACAAAGACGGGAATGTCACCAGGGTCCAAGATACGGGCGTGAGAAATGTCCACACCGCGGATGTCCAGGATGCGACCGTCCGACTTCAAACCGGCAGTGGTGTATTGCTTCGCGAGGGCAGCATAAACGTGGAATTGAGCATCTGAGAGCCAAAGCTTGAGGGTCTCGACATCTCCCTTAACGTAAGCGTCGAGAACTTCCGGCAACATGTAATCGCGCATTTCGCGTAGGAAAGGTTCCATCTGGAAGTTAGGATCGATCTCCCGGAATTTCTTGATCACCTGGGCGGTCTCATTCTCAGCGAAGAAGCCGGCGACGCGATCCGAGATGCTCCGGGCCGTGCTGATGAGGGGATTCTCGGACTCGTTGTAGTTCTCTTTGATTGAGAAAAGCTTCTGCATCATGGGGTTGGAGTCCTTGAACTCTCGCCAGGAGTCCTTCCATGCGGAATCCTTGTGAAGAGTGATGTTGGTACCGGCACTGGAGACACGAATCAGTCAGACATGTTAAACTTGAGGGATGTTCTCAACGAAACTTACTTGGGATCCTCAACGCGCTGCTCCACGCGATGGAACTTGCCAGACTTGAGCTCCTGTTGCTCCCGAAGCTGCCGCTGTCTGCGACGCTCCTCCTTTTCCACCCAGCCGCCGTAACGGGAGCTGCTGCCATCATCGATGGCTTCCTTCACACTCTTGTATGCTTCGGTTTGGCGAACAGGCCTGGTGGCTTTCTCGAGGCCTTCTCCGGTTGCGTTGACACCCTTGCGAACGCCCTTGACCACGCTGGTGTTCCAAGTCCAAGCCGCTCCCTTTCCAATGACTTGACCGGTAGTCTTCAAGGCCGTGGAAGTTTTGGATGTGGTAGCATTGGATGCAGCCTCGTAAGCCGCGCGCGCACGTCTGACATTCTCGTTTTCGGTGAATTGGTGAGCCGACGATGCCAACGCTTTTGTGGACTCTTCCCATTCCTTGGAAGCTTTGAACTCGGACTGCAAGGTCTCACGGAAGACTTGCCAAGGAGACTTGTCTCCATGGGGTGGTGGCGGAGCCTTCTCTTCTTGCTTTTCCTTTCCTTCCTCCTTGGAATCCTCGTGCTTTGACTCGGATTCAGCGTCCTTGTCCTGTTTTCCCTCCTGTTGCTTTTGCTGTTGTTGCTGTTGCCAAAAGGAGGTTGCGACATGGAAAGACCGAGTCAAAGGGAGGGCGGCGAATGGCGAGATGAGTTGGGGGACTGAGTGAGAAGGGGATTGAAGAATAGCTCGGTGGCTCTTAGTGGAAAGTAAATGCGTCTGAGCTGAGACAGTCGAGTAAGATCCGATGTGAGCAGACAGTCGGGAGGAAGCTCTGAGAGTCGGTGTCTGGGACCGCAAGGAAGCGACTCGTGTCGCCGACATCTTGGTCAGAATCATGCTCTGGAGCGTAGACTGCAACGAATAATGGGTTGTAATTGGGAATGATGGTAGAGATAAGATGGTTTCCAGCCCAGCCTGGACGCGATATGAAGAGGGTGTGATGGAGAGAGGCGAAAGATCTCGGGGAAGGGAAAAAGTGCTGGTGCCAAGACTTCGAAAAACTTCCAGCGTTTCCCTTCGGTCCGACAACGGCTCTACACCACCTGCACTTTGTGGTCAATTCGGCACTCTGCATTGGTGGATTGTTCTCAATTCCAAGACAATTTGCATTCTCTTACCTACCTTCTCGTTTAATCCCCTTTCTTCGAGGTCTGAAGACCTCCATCGCCGCGATGAGCTCCTTCACCATGAACACGTTGACGAAGGCATTGCCCTCAGTGTGCCGTCAGACCCCATCTAGGGTCTATAGCTTGAGCATCACACGTCCTTTTTCCTCCGCAAGCGCCCAGCGCAGTATCCGGTCTGCGCACAACGATGGCGGCGACATTGAGAGGCAGATGCTGAATCGAGATGCGGAGACACCTTCTGATTCCTCCTCGCCGCTGTCTGCAATCACACGCATGATGCAGGGCGAGAGATCAGGCACATCCTCCTCTCGCGGCCCCTCTGGCTACTCCCGAATGGCAGAGAGCCTCGAGGCCGACATGATCAAAAACCCCTACGCCGACCGAGCTCCCCCCCCACCACCTGCACGTCTACTGCCACAAGCACAACACAATCCTCACCTTGACCCGACCAAATGGCAACCCCCTTCTGTCCATTGGATGTGGCCAGATTGGTTTCCGCAAAGCTGGTCGCTCCGGGTTTGACCCGGCCTATCAGCTCTCCGCTCACTTCATGAGTCAGATCCAGGAAAAGGGCTTCCTGTTGGAGATCGAGCGCCTGGAGGTGGTATACCGTGGGTTTGGAAAGGGTCGCGAAGCATTCACAAAGGTGCTTTTGGGCAATGAGGGACGACACATTCGAGGACTTGTTGCGCGAGTGAGTGACTCTACCCGGTTGAAGTTCGGTGGTACTCGTAGCAGACACGAGCGTAGACTGGGTTGAGTTCTTCAGTTGGAAGTGGGATCTTACTTCTATCTTGATTTGGTTACTTGTGTGCTGTGGCGTCGTCCTGGATTGCATCGTGCGAAGCATCCGCAATCTCTTTTGTGCTTTTATCTAGATGGCATGTTGCCATCTACCCTCTGTATATTAGAAATATCATGACTGTGACTACAAACCAGATCCCGTGCATCTTAATCTACCCAATAGGATCGAACAATCAAGCTTGAAGGTCTTGAAGGTCTAGCTCCAGTCGCATTGTAAAGAATTCCATGGCTAGATGGAGGAATTACCTAATGCGGATTAGCGCCTATCACGTTGTCGATCACGTTCTCGATTCACTCTCTCGACACATGCGCTTCTGCTTCAACTCGGATCTTTTGTGCTTTGCCTGTTTTCTTGCGATCTAGCATTGTGATTTTCTTAACTTGGTCCAGATTCCTTTCCCGAAGCCCACCGTGGTGACCGAACATTGAGCTGCTGCCTACTGAACGCGACCTACCCTTCCCCGCGAAATCTTACGCCCCGTATTCCCTGCTGCAGAGATCTGAGACGGACGGCTTGATGATTGCTAGAGTCCTTCGACTGGGCCGTCCAAAACCGTTTGGATGCACCCTTTAAACCCTTTTCTCCGTGCCTTCTTTCGAAGCACTGTTCCGGGCCAGTGTATACCAGTGGAGAATCATGTAGGTGAAGCCTGTGAATGTGTTGACGGATCCGTCGGAGTGGCTAATTGGTGTCGCGTGTGCCCTTCAGGTCTTGCTCGTCCCCACCACAGACTCTCTCATCGGTTCGCGCGACCGGGAGTCCAATCTGCTGTACTCCGATCTTGTCGCGTCGGAGGAGTTTCTAGGAAGCCACGTACTCCGCATCCCTATCCATCCTGGCTCGGCGAATTCGAAAGAGGACAACAATGTGCGAGACAATCGAGGGAAGGCCAAGCAGGTGACAACATTCAACGGAAGAACGGTGATAATTAAAGACAACTCAATATACAGCAACAAAGGTAAGACCCCTCGCTCCTGCATGCGCTCCTCGAGATAGGCCAGCTGACATCAATGATATGAAACCAGGTTTCAAATCCCTGACGCAAGCCCAACTTCTTTCCGACGCGCTCTATACTACTCCATCCAATGAATTGCGCCCATGGCTGATCTACTACATCTCCCGGCCGTTGATCGGAACATACGATCCCGCCAGAGTCATACCAGCAGTCGTCCCTGGGACTGACTCGGAAACTGTACCAAGTGCTGCGGACACAAAATATGGGAATGGAAGTTCAGTTGGGACCCCGCCAAAGCAAGAGATCAGATCCTTTGGCGAACTGCTGGCCAATTTCCCGATGATTGCCAGGCAGATGCACCCGGGCTTGGAGAGATTATTTCAAGAGTTTGGGAAGGAACTGGGAAAACCATTGCCGCCACCTCCTTCGCGATCCCCATCTGCATCCGGCACTGAACGCGCCCACAAGCCCTCCCGCGCCGAGTCTTGGACGGACGAGAGTTCTTCCATCCGTAGCTGGTCGTCACGCAGCAGAGGGCGATTGCCCTTCAACTCCGAAGAATATTTCGAGGATGATGAAGATCTCATGCGTCGCAGCTTGGAAACAGCCGTGACTGCAGCCATTGATCTTTTTCGCCTGGTCGACAAACAGCAATTATCCCTACTTGGTGCGACCACTGACCTCACCGGGCCACTTGTTGAGCGAATGATAGAACGTTATGTCGCGGAACAAGTTCATGAACCGCTTCTTTTCCCTCGTCTTTGTTCGTTCCGCCAACCAGAGGACATGGAGTTGGATTCCCGCATTCGCCAGATGGAGAGCATCGATGTGTCGCAAGTCGGGATATCCGTTGAAGGTGGACGGGAAGGAAAGCGAGAACTGACTCGCCGACTTGGGCGTGGCGTGGAAGAGTTTCGGAAGATCAATGATGCTAGATGTCCTCATGATATGCTGAGTACTCTTCTCGGCACAGTCAAGGTTATATCCTTCCCCGGAAGCTATGATCAGCTGGGTGGCCCGGCATCTGAGAAAGGAACCTCGTCGGTGACCATCAACGCCGACGTTCTGGTTTCATTGCTACTCGTTATTGTCATTCGATCCCAAGTTCGACATCTTCAAGCTCGATTATTGTACATGCAGCACTTTATCTACATCGATGATGTCGATAGCGGCGAAATGGGATATGCTTTGAGCACATTGGAAGCTGTCTTGATGTATCTCGTCACCGATTCCGCGGGACTACGACGTGCCAGCGCTAGGAATAGACGGCTGTGGCAAGCAACAAAAGCGGGCAGAGTGACGGATATGAAATCAATACTGGAACCGAACGAGGATCACGAGTCGATGGACGAGGCGACTCCGCCAGGGCCAGGGCGCAAGTCCGTGTTTTTCCAGACCGACGAAGTCGACGAGCTCGACGATCTTTCTCTTGAGAGCTCTTACGCGGGTCGAACGAATGGCGAGACGTATCAGAATGAAGCTGGGATCGTTGCACCGCCACTGTCTCATGTGTTCCCATTCCAAACCTGGAATGATCACCCACACATCCAAGATTCCAACTCTCATCGTCCGGTGAAGCGGGTCTCGATGGACGTCCGTAGTTTATCGGAATCGTCCGCCACCTCATTTATTTCCAAAACAACACTCGGATCCATAGCCAGCGGCATTGAGGGTGATAGCTCGATTGAGACCTTGACGAAAACCCAGGACCCCGCCGGTCACTCCATACCGATGATGGCAGTGGAGAGAGGTCAATCCGAGGCTTTGAAATACCTGTTGACCCTGGAAGAATACTACCCCCTAGAGGAAATCCTCGAAGACACCAACGCCGACGGGACAACGCTTCTCAATGCCGCGGTGCAACTTGCGCACAAGGAGATAGTCACCATTCTTTTGGACTTCTTGTTCGCAAAAGCAGATACAAGCGTTGTTGCGTCATATTTGACCAAATCAGATGTCCACGGCCGTACCGTTGGCCATTATCTGTTTAGCACTCCCTCCTTGCTAGCGAGACTTGGTCGCATCATCCCATGGCTACAGCGGGATAAGCATGGACAGACACCACTCTTTGCACTATGTCGCTCTTATGATCATCCGGAATACAAAATGATGGTTCAGGCAGCACTGACTGCAGCGCAATTGGCACAAGGCAACAACAAACCACTTCAGCTTGATGATCATATCGATGCGAAGGGGAACACGTTACTGCACATTGTGGGTGACCCTGAGATTACCAGGCGCATATTGCAAGAGAGCGATTGTGATCCAAATGCAACCAATGATAAACGATTCACGCCATTGATGATGGCCAGTAAATATGGACGAGTCGATCAAGTTCGCATTCTATTTTTGGATCCTAGAGTGGACGTTCATATCAAAGAGGCCCGTGGTTTGACGGCCGTGGAACTCGCCAAGGATGATGAGGTGCGAAATCGCATCGACGATCTGATCTTATTGTCCCATCCTCCATCCGCTTGCGGAGATCCTTCAGGTCGGGTCACAACCGTCGTGCGATCGTTCTTTGTCGAGGATGCAACAGTGCGCTTCATTCTCAAATCTGGCGCCCCATTTCCTCCCTCTCAAAATGTAGTGTCATCACGGCCTGGATCAACCACGTACACTGTCACCACCTGTCGCCGCACCTACTCCGACTTCGAGAACCTCGCGAAGTGGCTTGCAGTGGAACATCCAGCATCCTACATGCCATCTCTTTCCGATTTTCGGAATCCTTTCCAAATCCACTCGAAGCCATCACGATCTGTGCTCCATGATCTCCAGGAGAGACTCGATCGGTTCCTTAAGACCCTTCTCACCCACCCAACCTTTTCAACCCACGAAATGCTGTGGGAGTTTTTCCTCGTCCCAGAGCTACAACCAGAGATGGTGGCCGACCGATCACACCGCAAGGCCGCTGTGCTCACCGAGACAATCGCGGACGAGTATGCACCAGTTTCTCTGGAGGGTATGCGCGACACTGAACAGTTTGTCACTCACGCTCAGGACATGGTGCGGGGTGTACACGCTAACACTCGGTCCCTGATTCGCCGGGGCTACGCACTGCAAAACGGAGCATCTGATCTCGCCGATGCAGTGATGATCTGCTCATCTGTTCTTTCCACCCTTCGAGTGCCCACCAACGCACTTCCCATCTCACACGTCGAGGCGTTTGCTCGCTACGCCGCCTACCTCTCCACCTCCCGATCCGATTCTTCCCCCCTCCTCCAGTATTTAGCTGCTCTTTCGTCCATCGACAACACCACCTCGGCAATTCTCACCTCTTTATCCCGGCCACTATCACTCATGTCCTCTCTCTCCTCCACCAATCGTCACATCGCACGCTCTCGCTCCTCTCTTCTGTCGTCTTCCCTCCCCCGCAAATTCAACCTCAACCTGCCCGGCTTCGAGGAGTCTCGCCAGAAGTCCGTCCGCGACCTCGAACAGAAGATTCGAGATGGTGAATCTGAGTCCGCTCGGCTTGCGAAAGAAATTTCCTGGAACAAGGATGTCGTGGTTGGCGAACTCGCTGGCTGGACCTCGTGGCGGGAAAAAGTCGGCCGTGACGCCATTCGCGCCTTTGTTAAGGACACCCTCGTGCGTGAGAAAGAGCGTGGCAAGCGCCTCGAACGGTGTCTGCGTAGTGTGCGCGATATGAAAGGGTGACGATCAAGATGAAGAAGATATCCGCGTAGATCTCATGGACTGATCTTTCTTCCCCTTTTGCCATTTGTTTCCTGTTAGCTTTGCTTTTCTATCTCTCTGTATATCTCATGACGGACATGTGTTCGAATACTTTGCTTTACTCACTCGGGTATGTCCCCTGAGGTGGTGTTATGTCTGGAGCGTCTCGAGCACTGGCATACATGTAGCAAGGCGCAAGGAGGCTTGGTGGATACTTCTTTTTACTTGTCGGCTCAGCCAAATAATGATATTAATGCTCATGAATTTCTCGTCATTTGTAACTAGAAACCAGGTGTGGTGATAGTTAACTAACTAAAGCCATGTGCACAGCCAAGGCATTAGCTAATGTTCACCGTGGTTCTCAGTCCACTCAATCAATCAATCATAAGTTCTGTTGATCTGTTGATCTGTAGGAGCCTAGCTAGTTGCACAAGGGGCTGAGCCCCCAGAGCCATGCTCCTATTGCGGTGATAATCATTGGAGGCGTGTGTGTACAGCCACGCCCGAGGACAGAAGCTTACCGACAAGCGGCTAAAGCCGCCGACAACGGGCAGCAAGGTCATGCCCCCTATCGGCACTCATGTGACCTGAGGCTGACGGTCACCTGTCCACTACTATCCCACAGTGCCACAAAGGGCAAGGGTCATGTGATTGAGGAGGTGATTGTTTGTTCGTGCCTGAGGCACGTACCTGATGAGCATAAAAGCTCCTCTCAGATAGTTGCTTTCTTTCTTTCTCTTTCTCTCTTCACCTTTGATTTTCTGAATAACAGCACTCTTTCCACAAAAGACTTGGCTCATAACAGCTTCATGGATCAGTTTCTTCTCCCTGATTTTCCCATGCCACAAGTTTCGTCGCCTCAACACAGTCATCGACGCATCGTTCTTGACGAATCACAGATTCCCATGACTGTCGCATCAGGGCGGGTGGGTCAAGCACCTCGGCTCGTCCCGCGACCGACCCACTGGTCTCATTAGTACATAGTGCTAGTATCAGCATTCAGCATTCATCTACAGACGTCGAAACCCAGGAATACTGGTCGAAAATCGCGATATATATTTATACCTATATACACATATGGGTGGGTGGATTGAAGGATTGCTTGATCAACAATTATCACAATCCTGGAAAGAGGAGTGGACACCTTTCTTCGTCGTGCAGACGACGTGATGCGCGAAGTGAACCCTTGTCAGAGGTGCCGGGATCACTGATAATGTCCGGCGAGAGGTTATCAAATTCCAAGTTCCTTCCTGGTCCCGACCAGAAGCAGGTAGCCCGCTTGACCAGCGAACTTGCGGAACATGCAGGCGAGGTCAAAACCACCATCGTGTAAGTAGAGATACCCGGTGATAACTAGTCATTACTAATTGTCACTTGTCCCAAGCAAATCTGCGTATGCGTCGCCCATAGAGATGGTCGACGCTTCACGAGGTTCCTTCTCACCGGCGCAGTGGTGGGTGTTGTGACGAGGAAGGCGTACTGAGGGATGGGCTCTCCGGAGGAGATCCTCCCGCCAACCCACCCACCAACCCGCAGGAGGCCCAAACAGCCCCGGAACTAATACCAGAAGATGATGACGTTGACATGGACCCTGTTGAAAAGGCAGGCGTTTTCTCGTTCCGTGCCGGATCTCGACTGGTGCAAAACTCTACCCGCCCGGACTTGCAACTACCTGGTTCGTGGTCAGAAGATGCTGAGGATGCCCGTGTGCGCAAGGAGAAGCTTGCTCGCAAGGCGGAGTCCAAAGAAAAGAAGCTAGCTGGCATGGCTGCAAGACAAGCTGAGGTGGATGCCGCGATAGCCAACGGTGTTCCCCCCGACGAATCGTGTTCCTACTGTGGTGGTCCACACTGGAGGCGTGCGTGCCAAGCCACTCCCGAGGTGAAGGAAGCTTACCGCCAGGGCCTCAAAGCTGCCAAGAAGGCTGCCCGTACCGCCGCAAAGGCTGCAGAAGCAGCAGCAACAGCTAAAACCACTGGGGTGATGCCTCCCCCACAAAAGAAACGGAAAGACCCAGTCGATCCGGAAGCAAAACCGAAGAAAAAGGCACGCCAGGCGGTCATCAATACTGTCGCCGAGGAGTTCAGGAGCGCTACTCTTGAACCTGCAAACCCTGCCCGCTCTCGAACAGGGTCGGTCTCGTCCACCCCAAGTGCAGCTACGTTGACCCCTGGGTCAAAGATACACCAAACGAAACGCTCTAAGATGGCCCAAGAAGGAGGTTCGTTCGACGGTATCCCGCAACGGTTTACCGACGGTAAGTGGATCGTTCTGAAGCCAACCGGCTTCCAACCCCACGAGGACCTGTTCCTTCAAGTGGTGAAGGGTGTCAGCGAGGCCCTCCTCGCCCTCCCCACGCCCGACATGGCCGGACCGAAGCACGTCGAAACGAGAAAGAAACTGTGGATGGTAGAATTGCACTCAATCGATGCCGCCAGGCAGCTGGCCGGTACCGACGTGACCATCAAGTGTCACGAGTTAGTGACATAGGTTTACAACTCAGATGAGAAGAGTCCACAGGGCGGATCTCAGGGATGTGTTAGGATACAGATGACGTAGCATGATTGCATCAGCCCATCATCTTTCACTTGTCTTCATCCTTCTGTTTCTCTTCCACCTTTGATAATCTAGTTTAAATGCTATACTCTTCTTGTTTGAAACGTTATCGGCATCATCATAACATCAAGGACGGCACTGGTAAGCCCCAGAAGATCAAGGTCCAACCTTACTTCACGGGCGGCCCGACCCGTTTCATCACAGACAGAACTGACGCCATCTCCTCCAAGGAAATCGCGTACAAGATAGCGACAATGGTCCCCAAGACCTTCTTCGTGATGGACGAGATGAAGATCGGGAACACCACGGGCCCGAAAAAGAGGATCACCTTCGCGCAACCACCGGGCTTCCAAAAGATCGAGATTGCGTTCGGGGACTACAAGATCAGGTTCTGGCCGGAGGACCTGACTGCGGCATGCCACTCTTGCAAAGGGACCCACGGTCCGACCTGCACACTCTGCCAACGAGTGGACGGGGACGACTGGGACCTGGAGTACTATAGGCTGCCGGACAATTTAGCTAGATTTTAGAAATGAGATCGTTGATCCGAATTTTTTCCCTCAACTGCAGTAGTCTTAAACTCCACGGCAGGTTTAATGAAGTCTACAGGTGGATGAGAGTGGAGGACGTAGATATCCCCCTTGCCCAGGACACTGGGATATGTGCCGCTCAGGCGGAAACGATTAGAAAGGCTTACCCCCTCGTAGACATAGTCATTCCTAATGCTGAAGGTTGCGAACCCAAGGTTTGCATTCTTATAAACAAAGCCAGGGTCTCTTGGGACACTGGATGCGACACGCAGGATGGGCATATTGTTGCCACCGATGGGAACGCTAGGCTGATTGCTGCGGCGGTAAAGTTCAATGGGTTCCCACTGGTGGTGGCGTCCGTATATGCCCCAGCCAAGCCGAACGTACGGGCACAGTGGCTCCAAGCGGTTGGTTCCTTTTTCCTAACAAAACCCCTGTCGCGTCCGGTTGATATGATAGGGGGAGACTGGAACATGGCCACGGGAGCCAAGGACTGAACATCGGGCCGACCACCCTCCGCTCAGGAGGAAGACGCCCTGATGTCACTCTTAATAGGCTTAGGCCATGAGGATACTCACTACGTGGATGGATGGCGACGCCACAACGAGCGACTCGTTGAATTCACGCACACAAATTCTTACCAGGGGCAATCCCGCATAGGCCGGATCTATATCCGGCACGACTGGTACGGGAGAACACGCTTGTGGGGTATGGTCACGCCCTGCCTCAAGACAGATCACCGGGCAGTCTATGCGGAGCTCGACACCCCGAGCAGCATACAATGGGGACCCGGCCGGTGGAGGCTGAACCCTACTACATTGGATAACCACAGGATAAGCGGCGTGTGCAAGGCCCTGATCAAGGAATTGGCACTCTCCGAAGGAGCCACCTTCGATGATTGGATCAAAGCCAAAGCGGTCCTAGCGGCCATGTTGGCGCGAAATATCCAAGAACAAGAAGCGAAGGGCGGCAGCGAAGTCAACAGCCCTAAGGTTGGAAAGGAAACGACTCAGGCTAACTGGCAAGCGCACGGTACTTAGCAAGGACCTGGAATTGGAAAGTGCTATCAAGGCCCTAAGCCTCAGGGAAAGGTGTTTGGACTCCTGCTTTGTGCTGGAGTCGGTGTGGAGCGGCAGAACGCCCACATGGTTTGCTATTTAGTCTCTCAGTTCGTAGGATAGAAATCCAACTCTCTTCGCTTCCCTCCTGGTCTCCATCTCAACAGATTATGAGACTCCTCTTTTTCCCCTTTGCTTAATCAAAAAGTTATCATCAAAATTATCAAAAATCATCTGTCTTACCAGTCTTCAGAGAGTTCACTGGTCAAGACAACCCAGAACGGCATAGGGCGGGTCGATCCCTAAACTATAGCCAATCACGAGGAGGACAACTCCACTTTCAACAACGGATATCATCTCGGATAACGATTTGAACCCGCATTTCCATCATGGAGCCAGCACCGGATAACGGAGAAGGGCCAAGCACCGCCGGAGCACGCGATAGTCGATACCCAACGGACACGTGGCTACCAACCTAACCAAGATCTGAGAACGGTGAACGATGAAGACGATGACAACTGGGATAACCTTGTCGATACTTCAATCCAAGTTCCAACCCAAAGCTCCGATCTACCCGATTCAGACAAGGTCGTGCTATATGCAATCGAACCACAACTGGAAAACAAAGCCGACTTCGACCGATGGGAAGACATTGTTCTGCGTGAACTCCATGGTCTACGTCTACACAACTTAATCAACAAGAAAATCAGCCGCCCAAAGAAGAACTCACCGGGTTCGCGGAGATGGTTCGAACTTACCCAACAAGTTGGTGCGTGGATCGCACGCAGCATTGACCCTAAACTTCTCCATGCCATGGGACTCAAGAGAGGGCAAAATCGTGCAGCGGATGATATGATGGCCATAATCAGGAAACATCTCAACTCTCAAGGGAAGTGGACACCGGGACATCGTGACCGCTCTCGACATCCTCATGAGGACAGAACCAAAAGACTTTAACACTGTTCAGGAGTTTGTGATGGCTGTTCGAGACCGCTACAAAGATATGGATGATATCGACACTGGTGTCCCTGCCTACATTCCGCTAAGCATAATCATCAAAAGACTGGGAACCGAAGTCCCAGCCATGAAGGGTTTCCTTGATGTCAAAGACAATGAGTTCAAGGAGATGAAACATCCAATTACGGAACTGACCATGGAAAAGTTCTATGCTTTCGCGGTTGGCGTGAAACAATGCGCTTCGATTTGCCAAGTCTGCATGGTTCGCAGTCAAAATATTCACTGCTGACCTCTTGTCCCAGTTGATCCTTGTTGATGCGGGCTTTGTAACTTCCAGCGTGTCCTAGGCGCCGATGAGCTGTTTCAGCCGTAGTGCTAGAATATAGCACCGCGCTAAGCGCCACTGGGTTAGGTTCAGTTCCCAGCTCAATGAAGGTGACGTTGGCAGCTTCGAAGGCGTATCCGACTGTTCGATTATCCTGGGATAGAGTCATGTCCGTGGGATTCCATGTGACACCTTGGGATTGTTACCAGCCAAATCCTTTAGATAAAAGAGTGCATTCAGACGAAACAACAACTATGAGAAAAGAAAAGAAAGAGAACAAGAAAGAATCCGCAGAAGACTTTTTATCTCTTCTCCCAGTCACAGGACATGTCCTCTTCCTCCTCAAGTCACAGGTTCTCACAGCTCTCGTATCACACACACTCACCACCCATCATGTGACGCCTGACTCCTGAGCCCTGATCGCCACAGGGATTTCCTGAGACTGATCAGACTGACGATGTTGAACTTGTTCCCTAGTTTGTATTCACAGTGAATCCTCAAGTTGTGTGTCGATCCATCAGGTTTTCTCAAAGGTAAAATAACATCACCATGTGCATCAGCGGTGGTTGCACTACCATTGCTCGTGTCCCATTTCGGTCCCTGACCAGGTAGGTAAGAAATGAATGTTGACATCAGATTCCTGTTGGTGCAGATGTTCCATGAAGCACCCGAAATCAAGAATCCAGTCTTCGCCTTGTTTCCGCGTCCTGCTCTGGTTGCAGTGGTTGGCTATAGCCACCATAGTGATATTTTCGTCGGCCTGGATAGCCATTCCCGGAAATTCGTACCTATCGTCAGTGGTTGAGGTTGTATCGACCGCGCTGAAATTGGTCTGCTTGGTTCGTTGTCTTGGTTGACCCGACACTTGTTTTGCCTTGTTCTCCTTGAACTGTGTCTGGTTGCGCCACTTGTAGCACCATAACGAAGACTGGATTCTTGATTCGGGTGCTTCATGGAACATCTGCACCAACAGGAATCTGATGTCAACATTCAT